GGACCCTCTCTGGCGAATGGATACTGCCTGGCCAATTTGATACTGTCTTTTTCCATCCTAGGATCTGCTTGGCAAATTTGATACTGTCTTTTTCCATCCTAGGATCTGCTTGGTGATTACCTTTTTCTGTTCCTCTGGGTGCAGGGCCACGTGCAGAAGAGTCGTGGTTGTTACGTTGAATTCATACGGTGCCAAGGCAGTATCCATTGGCCAGAGGAGTGTCCATTGGATACTGTCTGGCTAATGGATACTGCCTAGCCAATTTGGTACTGTCTTTTACGACCACCGAAAGATCTGCTTGCAGATTATCTCTGTACCTTTTTCTGTTCCTCCGGGTGCAGAACCATGTGCAGAAGAGCCCAGCGTAAGGTGGTGGTCGTGGTCTCGATTCCAGCCAGAAACAGGTCCTGAACAATCCACACGACGTTTTCTTCCGTAAAACCGTCCACGGTCTTTTCCTGGGTCTGTAGCTCCGTGAGGATGAGGTCGATGAAGTCTCGCGGATTCTCGCGGTCCGACAAAGTCTCGCGGTGCCTCTCGATCTCTTCTTGCAGAACGGCGATGACCCTTTTGTTGAGTTCGTCTAGAATCTTGTATGATGAATTCACTGTAAAGAAAACAGTATACGACGACATTCTGACCAACGCAACAGAACTTGGGACCTCTTGGTTCCGAGTCGAACGAGGCATTCAAAGTTTGAATTTCGACTCGGAACCAAGAGTTCCCAAGTTCGAATGCATTCCTCCGTAGTCCATGGTAGCTAGAGACAATATGGAGCCGGCGGTAAATACGGAGGTTGGTACCCAGGCTACTGAAGTGACGAAATGTCGCTTAAGGCCAGCATGTGGAGGCTTGTCGTCGCTATGTACTGACGCAAATTCACTTTGTATTCCTGTGGTTTAGCAGCATTTTCTGGCCGCATTTTTTTGTTCGCCGGCGCGCACTGGTCTGTATAGGCTAGGATGTCATCCTTAAAATTAAGTCAGTATGGCCTAAACTAGCAATCCCTAAGCCTTGCTTACCTCCCGGAACAAAGCGGAGAAAGGGGAACACGGCCACCGGCTGGTTGGCGGAGATGTTGGCCACCATGGTCATCACCAGTTCCACCAACGTGCGCTATACAGCCATAACTTTAGCTTGAAATGCAATATTTTATCTCAGGCCTCACTACACAATAAGCTATCGATGCCTTAGCCTCCGTAGCAGGCTTGTAGAACTGGGGGTTTGGTGGTCTTCGGCTGTTTTCTGATTAGCCCAGTTCAAAAAACGGGGGTAATTCAACCAGGCCGGCTATGTTGTCTATATGCAATCAGAAAATAGCAAATAAAAGCTCACAAAGACCCTTAAGACCCCCCCAAATCCCCAGTTTTTGGCATGCTATGGAGGCTATCGATGCCTTACCTCCCGGAACAAAGCGGAGAAAAGGGAACACGGCCACCGGCTGGTTGGCTGAGATGTTGGCGACCAGGGTCATCACCACGTGCATCAGTTCCACAAACCTTTAATAATGGTTTATTCAATTATAAAATATATACAATACATTATTCACACGTCCAGTCCCACCTGGCAGCCAGAGGCTGAATTGCATGGGCGGGGCAATCGAGCTTCTCTGGCCGGCTACCTTCTCTGGCCAATTGATACCCTTTTTAGGCCGATTTCTACGATTTATTCACCCCGCAAAAGAAGTCCGGTGGAGACTAGTTTCCATGAGTTTCATTAAAACAAAGGCGTAACCATTATCTCAACCATATTTTAAAACATTTACGAACGGGATAAATTAACAAAGCATAAACAGCCTCTTAAGCGGATATGTTTTAATCTTACGTCGTAAAAACCGTATATCACTTAAGTTTTAAAAAACTTAAGTGATATACGGTTTTTACGACGTAAGATTGTCATAGTTTGTAAGATTGTAAATACCTAAATTTTTTTAACCAAAGTGATATATTAATCTGTAGATTCCGACATGATTGTAATTTGTATTTCCCTACTATTAATTAATGATTTATATTGTAAACAAACATCAGAATTTAGCCCTGATATGTTGTTGATACGTTGATACAAATAAGCCAATAAATAATAATAATAATAATAATTAAAATGAACGGGACAGACCTGACGTCATCGTAGTCGTACCGCTTCCCGAACACCATGGAGCAGATGACGTTAGCCACAGACACCGACAGGTTCTCGGTGACGTCACGTGGAGAGGAGCCATCTTCCTCGGACAGCTGAATATTAAATGGCGTTGAGTTATCATGAAAGTTTATCTGTGTTGGTAGTTACATGTTTAAAGTTAAAACTTTACCGAAAAAAGTTAAAGCTTTACCGAAAATAGCGAAGAAGCCCTATTTTACACAATTTGCCTGAAAATGGTAAAAAAAAAAACAAATTGAAAAGCATCTATCCATAAAATGAAAAAAAAAACGTCTGGGGGTATTTGGCCACTCTACCTTCATGTCAAATTTAATGTCATTTGGCCCAAGAATGAAGAAATTGAATCCATTTAACGAAATGGCAGTAGAAGGACAAGAAGAGGAAACGCGAGAGAAAACTAATGGTGTTGGTGAAGCCATAATTATAAACATACCTTCAAACAGAGCTGGCGAGCCTCGTCCCTGACGTGTTCTTCTATGCTGCCGGGCCCCATTCTCATTCCCAGGGTCCTCAGCGCACTGTAGGCGAACTTGCGCTTTTCCTTGTAGCCTTGGTTCAGTTTGGAGAAGATGATGTCTGTGTGGAGAGATGATAGAAATCTATAATTTTAGGTCGTGTAAACAATTAAGGGACTGTTTTAGTGAAGAATTGTGCAACCTTGGACAAGATTAAGATAATACAATAAATTTACATGTATTACATTACATAAATTTTTGTCGTGTGGCGTAGCGGCAGAGTGCTCGACTCGGAATCAAGAGGTCCCGGGTTCGAGTCCTGACATGCCACCGATCTTGTGCCCTTGGGAAAGGCACTTTACACGACTTTCCTCACTTCGCTCAGGTGAAAATGTATTGTACTGTCCCCTTTGTTGCTGGCGGCATTAATATAAGTTGAAAAAACTTGAGTGTGCCGTCACCACGTCTTGTGATTAGATGTTAGAATATATAAAAAATGAATAAATTTACAGTAAATACTAAAGGTGTGAGATCTCTGAAGTCTTGTTGACATGGTTGAAGTATGGCTCAAGGGAGGTAGTTTCTTTCCCTCCTGCGCGGCCCGACCTACAAGGCGGCCAAACTCCCCTGGCAGATATTCTCCTATATATAGCCAGCGTAGTTAGTCTGGTAGGGACTACGAAAGATCTGCTTGGAGATGAGTATATCGTGGTTGGAGCTGTAGCAATTTCCCCCCGCCCCGCCCACCTCATTACAACGTACTGCTGGCCGCCCGGTGGGAGTTTTGCGCCTGTGGGTGTTTTGCACGGCAGGAGTCTGATTAGATTGCGGTGGGCTAATTTAACTCCCGTCTTGCAAAACCTCCCGGGGAGCCGAGTCAGTGAAGAGCTTCTGGCATATCATATTATCATGTCTATCTGACCTATTTCTACTCTTTCAAGTAGCTTTCCGAAGGGTGGTAGAGGCTAAGCTAAGGTCAAGGTTACACCGATGTCTGTACGGGGTGTGGCCAAGGCCGGGCTCTGAAGTCGGGAGGACATTAGCCTCCATAGCATGCCAAAAACTGGGGGTTTTGGGGGTCTTCAGGGTCTTTGGGACTTTTGTGTGGTATTTTCTGATTGCATATAGACAACATAGCCGGCCTGATTGAATTACCCCCGTTTTTTTAGAACTGGGCTGATCAGAAAACAGCCGAAGACCACCAAACGCCCAGTTCTATAAGCCTGCTTCGGAGGCTAGGAGGACATCAGGCCTAGGTGTCGTTAAGACCGTCAAAAAGAATCATTAGCTCTCGCTGTAGGAGTCCTGAGGCGTTCTGATGTTGTTCTGTAGATGAGTAGTGATGTAAGAAAAAATCGGTCCCAGGGCCAATTGTGTTTACATCACTGACCATCTACACAGAGGCATTATCCGGCGGCGGCCTCGACATTACACAGCCCCGGTTCTCAGCATCGCACAAAACTGGTTTAAGGCGGTTTCTCAAAACTGGTTTAAGGCGGTTTCTCAATACAGATTTGATAAAATATGCTAAACAATATAACCTTCAGGCAAAAGTACCAAGTAAAGGGGGTAACAAAATACATACTGGTGTTCAAACGGCAATGAATGTATTGTTTTTTTATCACTATACCGTATCTCACTGTTTTTACCCATTTATTTCTGTATATACGCCTCTCTTTTTTTAATGTTATGTAAGAAGATGGGCCTTTGGTGCATGAATTAAAGAGTGAAAAAAATCAAAATAAAAATACCTTTCCCATAACCGCTCAGAAAATCCATGGTAAAAACGTTGGGCCTGTCGGAGAAGGCGTCCTTGTGGTCGACAAACGCTTCCTTGATGGCTGCGAAGCCGTTCAGAACCACCACGTCCTGCGCGCCCATTTTTACCTTAATGAATGAATGAATGAAGACCTTTATTGTACACACATACCCACTGGGTTAAGTACAGGTCACAGGATGGAATATAGATAACGTTACATATATACATCGTCAAGTAGCGCTAGCTACAATCACGTAAATTCGGTTTCTTCTCGTTTCTTAGGAATGGCAAAAATGTAAGACCTAATGTTTCAATACAGAAGGTTTGTTTAAGGTCATTAGAAATATAAATTTATCTGCACAGCTTAGATGTATAAAGAAGGGGAACATAGATTGTATCAGATTATAAAGATCTACTCTCTCTTTGTGGTATAGTTTACATTCTGTTACAAACTGTTTCTCATCTTCGATTCTTCCTAGATCACAGTACCGACATCATGATTTTACCGTGTAGACGTCGCCGTACTGCCGCCTCCACTCCGTCAGTTTGAGGTGCGGGGCTCCGCCCAGGGACAACAGATGCCCGACAACAGGCCAGCTGCCGCTCGGAGAGGGCGGAAGGTTGGCCTTACGTCCTTTTTTGGCGAAGAGGAGGAGGGTGCTGAGGAAAGCGAGAAGAAATACTAAGATGGTTTGGATGGAAAGTTCTGACAAGAATGGAAAATACGCCGCCATCGCGACATACGACCGCTTTCCGATCACGTCTTCTCGGTTTGGAATCTGCCCAGAAGTGTCTTGGGTGACGTAAGTAACCCTGGGGTGTTTCAGGCTTATGTCAAAGGTGAAGGTTCACTGAGCAGGTTACCTAGTGAATAACTGGATTATTTTGGATTATTATCACATCAGCACGTCCGCGGAACGTACTGCGCCTGTGCCAAACATGGCCCTGGTTTTTTCCACGATTTTCGTTGGATGTTTGGTCAACGTTGACAACATCAGAATTTTTTTCCGTTGCGGATGATATCTCTTCTCTCAACCGTCACAACATTGGAAGACTATAGATGGAATGTCAGCCTTGAATACGCGAATAGGACCTTAGAATGCCGAAGTGCTATATATGCATAATACTAGCCTCCTTTCAGGCGTTCCCGGATCGGTCCTTTTTTGGGGGGGGGGGGTATTTTCTGATCAAACGTAGATCGCACGCAATGGAAGCTCCAGCCGGCAACCCTACATATATCTCCGTGGAACGTTGCCGTTGACCCCAAAGCGGTAGGGCCGGCAGGCTTTAATGATAGGGTAGGTTAATCTCCAAGCAGGATCTCAGGGTGGCAAAAGACAGTATCAAACTGGCCAGGCAGTATCCATTGGCCAGAGAGGGTACAATACGCCACACACCATCTCTGGCCAATGGATACTGCCTGGCCAATTTGCTAGCTTTTTATGCCACCCTCACCCTGGGATCTGCTTGGAGATCAGGGTAAGTTGGGTCACCGAAAACACAATATTTTTTCTTGGTCTACTGATACAAATATTTATCGACACAGCAAGGACATTATATAGAAAGTCCTTGGACGCAGCAATCATAAAAGCCTATTTCCTCCAGTGTGTCACGTATACTCTCCCCGCTCTGAGGGCCTTTGTTGTTCCTCCTTATGTTTCTATGGAGGATCACGTATTCATATTGACTGACGTATTCAGGAAATTATTATTAATATTCCGCGCATGTCGTGATGTTTGTACGTCTCTCGATATAATGTTGTTTCTATGCTGTACTGAGTGGAGTTTGAAATAAAAGTGAATGGCAGAAGGCTACAATATTGTAGCCTTTATATTGAAAGGCTACAATAGAAAGGCGACAATTTACTCACCATATATATATATATATATATATATCATACCCTGTTATGATATCAGACACAATTCTATACACAGTTTGTTTGTTTGTTTGTTTGTTTATTGGGAATCTCCATTAGTTATACAAGCGTGTATACTAATCTTCCTGGAGTCCTTTCACATAATAGAATACATACAATTATCAACTTAATAGTTACAAAAGATTCAGTCTTCTCTTAACTGCAAAAAAAAAACGTAAACAAGTAGAAATATGGTTTGCTGTTCTGTTCAAGCTATACTGTTGGAGATAAGTGTGGATTGAAATCAAAGTGCATGGCAAAAGATGGGTCGTTCCGTATATAAATTCATAAAGCGTTGGGAGGTAATGGACTATACTAGCCATATATAATGCCCTGTTATAATATCGGGAAGTTTATATACATGTATATGGATGTATATAGAAAAACAGATAGTAGAGATACACGCAATCTTCTCTTAACTGCAAAAACTACATAAACAAGTAGAATGGTTTGCTGTTCTGTTCAACTTATACTGTTGGAGACACAAAATGCACATCTTCAAACTGGGAACAAATGACTTTTCTGTTGGATCGTCTTATATCCAACAGCACACATCCCTATAATTGCTCTACGCGTTAGTAAATGTAACTCTTCACATCAAAGATTTCACAATCTATCCTCGAAAATAAATCAGCATCACGCAGTAACTCCTTACATCAAAGATTGCACCATATTATGGCATATATCCCCGTATTTAACCATGTTGACACAGGATATGACGGTCGCACGCTCGCCAAAAAGCATTCCCTCGTCGCGTAATCAAGGCCATTTGTATCCACACAACGCGCAAAAAACATTCAATAAACCCTGTGTGAGCATAGCACTCGAGTAGCAGTACTCTGCAGTAGCTTCAAAACACGGTCAATGAACGGTCTATTCTCTCCAGGCGACTTCACTATCGTAAGAACACCTTATATACCTGCTTTGGGGTTTTTCAAATTCTTACGAATTTTTTAAGGAACTGGCTGTTATATTATAAAGTGTCAGAGCCTAAGACTACTACCTACCTACCTACCTAGTCCCATGACCGACACTGGTCGTCGGGGGGACAAGGCAGACTTTGCAGCAGAGGTGTAGCCAGGTCTTCCTGTCTTGGGCAGCTGTCAGGAGTTGTGAGACGGTGAGGGACGTCCAGTCCTTGACCTTGATGTTATCCACTTCTTCTGTCTACCTCGCCTAAGACTACACGTAAGCTATATAGCTCATTGCGATGAATGACTCAGAAGACGACGACATCCCGTGGCCTGTCGGAGTTTCGACTGGCGGCAACATCGGACCGCTCTGGCACCTTTCCTACTTCTCTCACCTCTCTGGCGTCTTTGCTGGAGTCGCGGCGAACGTAATCTTCATCGTCGTCAGCCAAGAAGTCTTCAAGCAGCGACCCACCCTCCCGAATCTCCTCTTCAAGTACCTGGCGTTCGTTGATGTCCTGAACTGTTGCTTTGGACTTGTGCCGGTCATTCTCGCGCACCAACTTAGGATCTTCACCAAGGAGGTGTGCGCGTTCCATGGCACGGTCCTGACGTCTCTTAGCGTCGAATCTCAAATGATCGTTGCCTTGATGTCCACAGAGAGGTACTCCTCACTCGTCCATCCTTTCTTTTACACGGAATATCTTGCTGGCAACCACAGGAATATAGTCATAGGCTTACACGTGCTGTTTCTATACGCGACGGTCTCGGCGAGTTTGCCGCTGTTTGGTTTAAACAGAAACGTGCCGCATCCGCCGAACTCGTACTGCATGTTCGACTGGGCTGATCGAACGCCGAAAGGTCGGCTTGTGGTGTACCTGAACCTCTTGAATCTGTCCACGTGCCTGCTCGTAATCGTGATCATGAACGCGGCCGTCGGTGTGCACATGTACCGGTCCAGAAGACTCCGACCGCAGATGCCGAGGCGTCTATCCACGCTTAGAACTGAACGCGAGCCGCCGGCTGACTCACGCGACAGACAGCTACAGCTACAGATGACCAAGCTGACCCTGGTGGTCGCAGTGGTGTTCTTCTGTTGTTGGTTTCTCTTTGCCGTATGTATCCTCTAGTTATTATGTTATCATAGGCACAGACCCATAAATTATCATGAAGGAAAGGTGCAATCATCACCGAATGTTTTTGAAACAACATACGCTTAATGCCCGTAAATTATCATGCTGAAATATCAGGTTTCGCCAGAATAAAACTTAACTTGTATACACAATATGTATTCTGAAAATAAACCCTTAAATTCGCCTAGCGTTCTACACTAAGAAACGGTGCGAATAAAATCCGTTTCAAGTGTTTCATTTTACCCTCAGTTGCAAACAAGAAGTTTTTTTTAAAATTCCAGCTCCGTATCTTGACCAATCAGCTTGGCGTGTGGACAAACGAGGGCGTTGATTGGTTGGCGTTTTGCCTGATGACGTTGAACAGCGTCATCAACCCTTTCCTCTACGTCATCATGTGGAAACCCTACCGCAAAGGATGCTGGATGTTGCTGAAGACCTGTCTACACTACATGACTTGTACCTTAGTCAGACAGCCGTCATTGACTCTATCTCAGTCGGTTGTAGCGTGACATAACAAGCTTTGACAAACTATATACATGTATACTCTAGTTGGGTCGTGTGGCGTAACGGCAGAGCATTCGGCTCAGAACCAAGAGGTCCCGGGTTCGAATCCTGGGTCCGTCACCAACCTTGTATGTACTCGTGGGAAAGGCACGACTTTCCCGACTTTGCTCAGGTGTTAATGAGTATGCCAGAATGATCATTATCTTGATCGTGGGCATTAGAAGAAAAACAATTTATATACTATTTCAGTTATACTAAGACAGTGAATAAAATCGGTGGTCTTATTTGCGTCCGTTGCTTAGCTAAATGTATAATTCCAATTTAGTATCATTACAAAATGCCCTTTTGCATGTATTTTGCATATATTAAGCTTGTGTTCTTTTAATGTGTAATGTTTTATGGATTTTTTATACCTGAAATAAAGAAAGAAATGAAAGAAATGAAGAGGTATATAGGGGTGATTAGAATTCTTTATGATTCATCATTTGCATGAAATTATGGACAAATACAAAAGGTCAAGTCATTTTCATGCTACATAAGATTTACACATGTGTTCAGTTAATCTCCAAGCAGATATTTCGGTGGCCGCAAAAGACAGTATCAAAATTGGCCAGGCAGTATCCATTAGGCCATGTTGATTTGATTATATGGATGACATCCGCGCGCGCATGAATTTTCGGCCGTTTCCAAAAAAAACGTTTTCAACCATACTGTAAATTGTACAAAACAGTTGCAAAATGAGCAAAAATATACCATAAGTTACAAAAAAATTAATAAAAACTATACCAAAGTCGTAGAATGCCAAAATCAAACGAAAAAAGACGAAATTGTAAAGAAATGAACGTGAAGACTAGATTATTCGCCAAACCATATTCTGTGCCATTTGCTCAACCCTCATGACCACGTAGATTTCATAATGAAAAGAACTTTTTTTTTGCTAAAACTTTTTTTTTATTCGCACGCACGCATCAGTTTTGGGGCTCCCGGAGGATGTCATCCATATAATCAAATCAACATGGCCTTAGCTAGACAGTATGGTAAATGGCTACAGCCTGGCCAATTTGATACCGTCTTTTGCTGCCACCGAAACATCTGCTTGGAGATTAGGGTCAGTGAGATCTGAACAGATGGTCAGCTAGCGTCCGTGCGTACTCACCAAACACATACAGCATTCTCCTGTCGTGTAAACAAGCCCATTAGTATAAATTAACGGCCGAAATAGGTCATATAGAGCACTGTTATAGTGTTAGCACGGCACTCTAGAGCCGGCACGTAATAATATCATACTAGGGTCCCTTCATTTCCTTATTACATGTTACTTCTTGGAGGTAATATAAGGAAATCACGCCATAAGCAGTGGTTTTAGTTTGGACTGAAGGTGTATGGAGGCGATTCTACTTGACTAAAGGTACTGGATGCTACATGTAAACGTCTGACCGTTTCCAAAATCATATCCAGTTGCTTGGTGAGTAACTGTTCTTTTGGCGTATCTTGTTACCTGGATGTCTAACCTTCATCGACGATTCTTCAGTATCTCAGAGCACGGACTTGCGTCTTGGACAGATCTGTACTCAATAAGAAACCATGAATGAATCAGAAGACAGCATCCAGTGGCCTATAGGGTCCACCATTGACGACATCGGTCCCCTGTGGTACCTATCATACTTCACGCTGGTCCCGTGTGTGATCGCAGGATTCGTAGCAAACGTTTTCTTCATCGTGGTCAGCCAAGAAGTCTTCAACCAGCGGCCCACCGTCCCTAACCTTCTCCTCAAGTACTTAGCGTGGACCGATGTCCTGAACTGTTCCTTCGGCGTTGTACCTATCATCTTGGCGTACCACTTAAAGATCTTCACCCGAGGAGTGTGCGCGTTCCACGGGACTGTCTTTACAGCTTTCAGCGTGGCTTCTCAGATGGTTGTTGCCTTGATGTCCACAGACCGGTACCTCGCGTTAGTTCATCCATTCTTCTACTCCAAATATCTCCTGAAATGCCATCGGAAAATGACTGTAGCTGTTTATATAATCTTCGTGTACTCTGGCGTCTCGGCGAGTTTGCCGCTCTTTGGGTTGAACAGAAACGTGCCGCATCCGCCAAACTCGTACTGCATGTTCGACTGGGCCGATCAGACGCCGAAAGGTCGACTTGTGGTGTACCTGAACCTCATGAACATGTTCCTGTGTTTGCTTCTGATCATGATTATGAACGGGGTCGTCGGCGTGTACATGTATCGGTTGAGGAGACTTGGTCCGAAGCCTTGTGTTGCTTCTGAATCTAGAACGGGGCCGCCCACCGAGTCTCATCACAGACAATTACAGCTTCAGATGACAAAGTTGACCTTCGTGGTTGCTATCGTGTTCTTCTGTTGCTGGTTTCCCTTTGCCGTAAGTATATACATATATACTAACCTTCATCGACGTATATATGTATATATATTAATACTATATGACAAGTGAACCGTTGATACTTGTGGTTTGTTTCAATGTTAATTCATCAATGATGTAATATATGTTTTTAAACTTCTAAAGGGAGTTACTTGCATGTGTGTTTATAATGATATGGAATGGCATTCCGCCATTCGTACTGCCAATCATTCTAAAAATTATGATGGGAAAATAACAGATGTTCGCTAGATGACATTTTTGGTGGCACTAGGTAGAAAAATAAAAGTGATCAGCGCTGCATAGCCATCTATTTATTAGTAGTGAAGACATTCCACACGGTTTCTTTTCTTATCTAAGTCTAGCTGATTTGGATGAAGCCCAAAAGTATATATATACACAGCCAAGCAGTTTTGTGTGTATACTTGTAAGACTGAACTGTATATCGATGTGTTAATAAATGTTCGTACACTATGAAAAGGCAAGGCAAAATGTCTTTGCCTAGCACATGTTGCGATGTGTAATTTAACAAAGCAATTATGTAATCTAACTTATGTAATCCAAGTTTTATAACAGCAAGTCATCCAAAAGTTAATTGGCATACGACACAATATTTGACTTCCACTTTATTGAGATGTATACAATCATATTGGTTTCTGTTTTACTCAGTTCCGTGTCCTGACCAATCAGCTCGGAGTATGGGGAAACGAGGACGCTGATTGGTTCGCGTCACGACTGATGACGATGAACAGCGTCATCAACCCTTTCCTCTACGTCATCATGTGGAAACCCTACCGCAAAGGATGCTGGGCGTTGCTGAAGACCTGCCTACACTACATGACTTGTACCTTGGTTAAGCGACCGACAATAACTCTACACCAAGCTGTTTCTGTATGAAAGATAATCAACTGAACGCTGTGTAAATTTTCCATGTATAATTTACAAATGATCTTGTTTGGAACAGCAGTTACATTTTTCTCCGTTTGTAGGATTGTCCCCTTTCTTGTAATGTTATTTTGAATGTAACATTTTTTGCGTACAGTATAATATATATGTATGTGAATAAAATAAACCAATACTAATTGATTAGGTCTGCTCAGCATTGTGATATATGAGATATGGACCTATTTATTTGCTGGAGAAATTTCCTGTAAATGACACACGAATTTGGGACATTCAGCATTTGCGTCTTCCATACTATAGTCGCCGTGCTGAACGGCTGGCCATTGGCTAAGGTTTAGACAACATTTGAAAGAGTACCAAAGTTATCAACCAAGGATTGGGGTGTTCAAGAATTCATTCTTTCCTAGAACTATCGCAGAGTGGAACTCGCTGTCACCAAGTACAGTAGGGGCATTGTCAATAGATAGCTTTAAACGATGTCTAGAGTTAGATGTTCAAGGGTTAGGTGTAACAAGTCGATCGGTGTAATATAGCCAGCCGCCGCCGCGCCGCGTGCCTGCGAAGTTGGTGTGTTACGCTGAAAGGCGGTTATACCGGCTTTACAGATACAGCTACAGGTACAGAAAGAAGAGAGGACAGTTCGCAAACAAGACCTGGACTTTGACTAGGTGGCCGCTTTATGAAGACATGTTGACCCTGGGCTTAACCATTAACTCATTACGTAACTGTCAAACGCCCTTTTAGTCAGACTGAATCGCACCCCTCCCACAGATCAGGTACAGTCTGTGTCATACACACAACATCGGACTACAAAGCTGTTTACCGGGTATCATACTCACTGGTGGACCACCACAGATACAGACTGATAGCAGGAAAAATTGACAGCCTGCAACCCACGGTTATACCATGAAGGGATTTGACGCGCTTACAGCATGGGTAAGTCTGCATTGTCACTTCCAAATGTCTATCTAAAGTAACTGGGCCTATCATATGACGTGAAAACGTTCTGATTGGTAGATTAATTGCTCAACTTCTGAGTTACATATCCTGTTCAAAACATGCAGTGACAGCCAGCTATTACGTTTCCTAACATGCCAGTTTTGTACCGTACGTACAAGCTAAGTAGCATCCAGAAACACATTGATTTCGGTAAAAGAAAGAAAGAAGCTTGTATTTTTGTTCACCAGGGTGCCAACTTGACAAGTGACGATAACAGAGAAAATATTTACTAGGAACTATAGAAAGTCGCTTTGTGTGCACCCCAGCTTGGTAAAATAAAGAACCGTACTGTCGTCTACACAACGAGTCAACTTGAACTAAGCCCTGCAATGAAAACCCAACCTACCATGAACAAACTACAGACAACTGGTCCTTATTTTGTGAGCTAGCCAACGCAAATGTTATGATGCTTAACTACATATCTTACTGTACAACACACGACTAATGGTAAATGCTTCTGCTGGCTATGTATTGACTGTTGTTTCCCCCATAGGTCATCTGCAGTTGCATGCACTACTCGCTAGGGGTCCTCCCCGGAAACCCGCGTATTGTGGACTTGACCCACACCTTGATGAACGGCCTGGTGTACTGGCCGGGGGAGGTGCACTATCAGTGGAACATGGGATTCAGGTGAGTGGCGCCAAAATGATCTTTCTTAGGCCAAAATATGCAAAGTCCAATTCTGTGCAGGCGCCGGTCTTACACTAGCTATAGCTCAGCTCTACAAGAACTCTCACTGACATCGCTAGCTCAACGCCGACTAGAACTCTGCAAAAAGTTCGCACAGTCCGTGCTGATGCACCCTACATTCAGGAACTGGCTTCCTCCCTCTAGAGGTGACATCTCTGACAGAAACACTAGACAGAGACACCTACTGTCCACCCTCAGAACAAGAACAAAACGTTTTCAGAACAGCCCGATTGTTTATATGACCCACCTTTTAAACAAGAAGTAACAGTGTTAGCCAACAGTACGCATGATCATGGAACGCTGAGATTTGTATATATATCCGATTTGTATATATAATGTAGGTTTTAAAATCACTTTCCTTATTAATTTTAATGTGGTCAAGTATGTACTTTTAAGTGTATTTTTAAATATGTCATTGTTGTAAAACACGCAATTCAGCCTGTGGCTGCCATGTGTTTTTGACGAATAAACCTTTCATTCATTCATTCATTCAAGTTGCACCCTCTCTGGTCGGCCAACTTCTCTTTCCAATTACTAGTAAATCCCCCCTTTTAGGCCGATTTCTACTATCATTCAGCCTGCAAAGGAGTCTGGTGGAGACTAAAAATATGCTACTCTAAATGTATTACAGTGCGAATGTTCGCCCTTTTCTGATTCAGCATCTGTGATGTTTGTCTTTACTCAAAGGCTTGAGAAATTTATTCATCCATCCATCCATCCATCCATCCATCCATCCATCCATCCATCCATCCATCCATCCATCCATCCATCCATCCATCCATCCATCCAAGCATCTATTCCTTCCTTCCTTTGTCCTTTCCTTCGTTCTCTCCTTCCTTCGTTCCTTCCTGCGTTCCTTCCTTCCTTCGCTCGTTCGTCCATTCATTCATTCATCCAGCCATTTATTTAGCCAGCCAGTCAGTCATTCATACATTCATTCATTCATTCATTCGTTCATTAATTCAATCATGCCTCCTTCCCTCCATCCCCCCAGAGGCGAGACTCCTGCCGGGTTCTACCTTGAGGTGAACGACTTTCAGTCGTCTGAGCACAGCGGGACTCACGTGGACGCGCCTGCGCACATGGCACAGGGCAAGTGGAGAAGTAGGTCCGAAATATCTTTCTGGTCTTTTCGGTCATATTTGTTTTGTTTGTTTGTTTTGAGCTATAAATAAATTGAGCTTTTTTACGTACAGGTAGTTTTAAATATCCAATGGCAATCTCTTTGTGTAAACCGCACGCAAACACCCCCTCACTCTCACACACCCACACCCATACACATTCGCACGCACACGCACACACACACACATACAGAACACACACACACACACACACACACACACACACACATACACGCACACACACACATGCGCGCGCGTGCAAACACACACACGCACGCACACACACACTCGTTCATTCATTACTTCTTGTCGATCGATCGATCGATCCATCCATCGATCCATCCATCCATCCATCCATTCATCCATCCACCCCTTATTCACTCGTTCCTCCATCCCATTCCAGCTGACCAGATCGACTTATCCCGGCTGACGGGTCCGGGAGTTGTGGTGGACCTGTGGGAGAAGAACGTGACGTCAGACTACCTGGTGTCCCAACAGGACTTCCTGGACTGGGAGGAGAAATACGGCAGGATACCGGACGGCTGCATTCTCATGAGTCAGTTTTCCTAATAGTTCTCAAGCTGTTACCTCTCCCCTCCTCGTAATTACTGAATAATGTTGGTCACCGTTAGTCAATAGTTAATGTAAACGGTGGTCACCGTTAGTCAATAGTTACTGTAAACGGTATGTGTATCGGGACTGGGAGGAGAAACACGGCAGAATACCGGACGGCTGTATTCTCATGAGTCAGTCCTCCTAATCTCCAATTAATTACAATAGTTACTGTAAACGGTGGTCACCGTTAGTCAATAGTTACTGTAAACGGTATGTGTATCTGGACTGGGAGGAGAATCACGGCAGGATCCCGGAGGGCTGTATTCTCATGAGTCAGTTCTCTTAATCTCCAATTAATTACAATAGTTACTGTAAACGGTGGTCACCATTAGTCAATAGTTACTGTAAACGGTGGTCACCGTTAGTCAATAGTTACTGTAAACGGTATGTGTATCTGGACTGGGAGGAGAAACACGGCAGGATACCGGACGGCTGCATTCTCATGAGTCAGTCAATTCACAGTTAGTCAATAGTTACTATAAACGGTGGTCACCGTTAGTCAATAGTTACTGGATAACGGTGGTCACCGTTAGTCAATAGTTACTGTAAACGGTATGTATATCGGGACTGGGAGGAGATACACGGCAGGATCCCGGACGGCTGTATTCTCATGAGTCAGTTCTTCAAACTTCCTTTGACTCGTTAACACCAAGTACAGTTGGTGCATGCATCATCATGATTACTAGAATGCTTCAGACAAGTCCTACAGTTAGGCGTGCAAAGATTGGGTGTAACAGGTCGTTCGGTGCAATACGGCTAGCTGCCGCCGCGCCGCGTGCCTGCGAAGCCTGTTTGTTACGCGGAAGGACCGGAAGTCGGTACCGCCCCCCGTCCCGGTCGAGAAGGTTGTTGTGCCTTGATGTAGATTCTATCGAGTTGGAGGACAGCCTATTTCTCATTTTAGAACAGTTTATTTCTCATTCTCATCTGAGTTTAACAAAAGTTTATTTCTCATTATCTGTCTTTAACAACTCAGGTAAAATTCTATGCTAACTCTAAAACAAGACTAAACCTGTGATTGTTTCCAGTCCATACAGGCTGGGCTAAGCGGTACTGGGCCGCCGGCCAGCTGGCCTTCATGGGGTCGGCAAACGAGTCGGGGCTGAGCTTCCCCGGGCTGGACCCTGCCGCCGCCCGATGGCTGGCCGACAACCGCGGCATGCACGCCGTCGGGATAGACACCTGCTCTGTGGACGCCGCCAAAACAGCGGTAAGGTTCTCGTTTCTCTAGATCATGTCGGTGTTAGCCAACATGCTTGCTCTTAACCAAAGTGGTTAAGAGCAAGAACCACATCATTTGAATGTGTAGAAGGTCGTTTTAGCACACGGTACAGACATTAACATCCACCCATCTTTGCAAGCATTACGAGACGTTTTTCAAGCTAGCCTTCTCCGCTGTCGATGTGATATACTGTTGGATAGCCTTGTCTTAGTAATGACCATCTTTGATTGGTAGCAGCCACCGTGTGCCAGCTGGTTGCAAATATTCAACTTTAAGTATGGTCTCTCCTTTGCTTCCCTGTAAAAAAAGCGACGTGGAGAGATATAAGCTTGAGGCTTCTGATCATCTGAATCATCTGTATGTACGATTTCTTCCTCGTTTACATCCAGGCGAAGGGCAGTCACACGACTCTGCTGAACCTGAACATCCCGTTCCTGGAGAACGTGGCGAACCTGGACCAGCTTTTAATCTCCAAGCAGATCTTTTGGTGGCTAGAAACACAGCCTATCAGTTTGGCCAGGCAGTATAGATTTGCCAGACAGTATCCAAAGGACGTCGCATTGGATACTGGCTGGCAAATGGATGTCTGATACTGCAGATCTGATACTGTCTTTGCATCCACTAAAAGATTTATTTTGAGATTACGGTCTGACTATGACCATCTTTGATTGGTAACAATGCAGTGTACTATCTGTATAGCCTGGGTGCCATCCGAATTTTGCTCCGCTACGCTTAATTTTTTGGAGCGTAGTAGAGCAAATCCGGATGGTACTCAGGTACATCTGTATGCTATGTGTATCCTTGTCTTCCTCGCTTTGCTGCAGGCGAAGGGCAGCCACACGACGCTGCTGAACCTGAACATCCCGTTTCTGGAGAACGTGGCGAACCTGGACCAGCTTCCCGCCACCGGCTCCACCGTCTTCGCCCTGCCCGTCAAGATCGGCGGCGGCAGCGGGGCGCCGGCCAGGATCATCGCCGTCATTGATTGGGGCACTAGTGCAGCTGCCAAGGGGCCTGGACCCAGGCTAACGCTTGTCGGTGTTGTCGTCATAGCTTTGGCAACTTTAGTTTTCAACCTTGTTTAAAGCACGTAATTGAGACATGTTACAGTACATGAAATGTCTATAACGAGAATTAAAAGAAAAGTTGACTTGGGGAACAGTGTAATTCTCATGATGTATTTCATCAACCAAATGTCCTTGTCATTTAATTTCATCGCTCTCGTGATGGGGACACTAGTGTACCCACAAAAGGGCCTGGAGCGAGGCTAACGCTTGTCGGCATCATAGCTGTGGTGATTTTAGCTTTCATCGGCGTTTAAAGCACTTTCTTAAATATGATCCGACAGTCCTGAGTCTAAATCCCCCGCTATAAAATTGCAACATGATGTAACCCAAAACTAGTTACCATGGTGACAGACGTCTGGTTCAGGTCATTGACCTTATCGTCTTGGAGAAGAAGAGGAAACAATAATTCGTCGTAGGTCATGCAGGTCGTCGTATGCGACATAGAATTTTCAGGCAGGTTGTAACAGAGCAACGTTTACCAGCGATAGGGATAAATGTTTGAATGATCATAGTTCATAATCAAAATTGATGTTTTGTTACGTTGTAACGTTACAATCATTCTGCTGTATAACAGTACTAGTATGTAACATGCAATGGTTGATTAAACTATCCAAATACATGTATTTCATTATCTTGTCCATCATTATCATATGTAACGTTAACGTTATCATATTATAGTTGACTGTGTCACTACGAAAGTACAATATATACATATTGAGTTTAGTTGGTCAATTTGTATACTCTTACAGCCCTCTCTGAAGCCTGGTATTAAAGGGCTATCGGTGAACGTAAAGAAGTTAGGAGAGAAATTTGAAATGTCTTCAAATTTTTCTCGTTATAACTTCTTACGTTCACCGATAGCCTCTATCAGAAATTGACCAATTAAAGAAGGCGAGAAATGTGAAATTCAAATCTTGGCGCGAAAAGTGGGACAGTCTTGAGAGGCCACTGGGTCTACTCTCGAAATAGAAGGTTTTTGTTTATTATTGGCTTGTTTTTAGTTGTTTTTTTTAATCGGGCGTTCCTTTTTGCGCTGGTGAACGTAAGAATTTAGAAAGAGAGAAGTTTGAAATTTAAATCTTGGCGCGAAAAGCCGGCATGTCTTGAGAGGCCACTGGGTCAAAGTTGGAGCGGGGTGTGTACGTGGCAGCGCGGGGCACGCCGGGATAGCCGCCGCCATCTTGGTCCGTGCTCCTTGGCAGCTAGGGAAGACGTGGCGGTGAAAAGACGAGAATGGAGCGACAAAACGAGCTTCTTAGCAAGGCAGAAGACGTCGCAGACCAGGTAAGGAATTACAGCTTCTATCTCCGCCCTTGTATGTCTACTTCAGTGGCCGTGGTTGCGAATAAACCTCCTTGTTCGAAAACGGGAAGTGGCGTCCACTGATTTTCGGGTTTGAATGGAGAACGTCCGCAGTCTTCTTGTTCAACTGTTTAGTCGGAATTGAAGCGAAAAATTAGGTCAACGTGGACATATTTGCTCTAGCAGAATACCTAAGATGTTTTCCCAGTCGTTGTTTGATCTGTTTGGAAACTATTTCGTATCTGACATCTCTGCGACAGACTAGTACAGAAGCACACGTGTCAAAAACCACCAGAATGCGAGAAATATGCAAAATCTAGACGATTTTTCTCTGCATTCTGTTCTTCTATCGTTTACATTTTCTTCAGATATTTTTTTCCAGAAGTAAATTTTACGGAAATTATTGGTAGAATCGCCTTAAGACGTCATGATGTAAATACATACGTGTCCTCAGTAGAGGACCCATGGAATCGGTTCAAAGTTCACTATTTAAATTATTTATCAAGCCATGTGACTTGCCGCAAAGTTACCATATGGACACAATTAAAACGCTTTTTTTGCTGAGAAAAAAAATTCTATCTCTTCCATATGTGTTGTAACATTGTGATATCGTATTTTGGCAGTTTTGGCAGTTTTTTTATTGTTTATTTGCACGGTCTAGCACTTTGTAACCAATCTGTTGTTGTCTGGACTGACTTTGTTTTTTCGTGATTCGACCTAGCAGACGCTTGCAAAGTGGTTTTAAAGTAAACATACAAGTGACGCCTTGCCAAAATGTAGTTGTTTTTCTACGGCTTACGTTGCACTCAAAATCCAGACAACAGGAACTGATAGGAACATCACAGGAAGTTATTACATCACATTGCCCTTGGCAGTTACCGGTATGTTACAGGATCAAAGTGTTAGTCAGATAAACTATCGGAACATTGACAGTATTGTAATTTTAAAGTACAACAATGTTTTCTGCATTGTTACTTACAGACTAACAAAATATGCTAAGGAAGTTTGCTATTACATCACAATTTGCCCTTGGTAGTTATGTCTCAGTATCAAAGTATTAGTCAGATAGAACCATAGATTACCGGGATAATGACTGTATTGTATTCTTTTGTGCACTGTTACTGACTAACAATATACGCTAACTTGCACGACACATGTTTTTCTTTATATTTCAGCACATAAGATTGTTTTCTGTATCTTTTTATTTCAGTTATTGTCCAGAAATTATGCTGTGAAACATGCTGATTGTTTAACTTAACGAGATTTATTTTTTTACAGTAAACAAGCTTTATATACCACAATAAAGTAATCAAGCCCTTTTCAAACAGATCAAGCATGTATATAAAAGGTTAACAAGTTTTCAAACAATGGTGCTGACATAATAGTCGTGTGTAGCTTCATGCTTAACTTCGTTAGTGTTGGTGTTTCAAAAGTGCAAACATCTGGGTCAATGGGGTCTTTAAGTACACATTTGAAACAACTGTAGATAGATAAAGACATCTTTAGCATAATATGTTCGCAAACACCACTAAAATTTTTACAATTTACAGACAGCTTAATGCTTATATCCTAGGAAGTTTAAGACCTCCTTGGAATATCTCAGGGTTCTCACTAGACAGTTTAACCAAACTTTGAGCATAGGGCGTAGGGGCCCCCTACACTGTGATTTGGACGCCCTACACTGTGATTTAGTGCCCTACACTGTCTTTCAACCAGCATAGACTTGGGCTTCCATAAACTGGGTTCTCACCAGTATTTTTTTGCAGCGTAGGGGGCAACATTCTAAAGTCAACATGCATTTTTAAAGATTTCTGAAGTGTCTTCCCCCCAAAAAACACCCTTACGCTGGTTGAAAGACAGTGTAGGGTCCAAATCAGAGCAAAGGGGGCCCCTATCGTATGCTCAAATAGTCTAATGAGAACTATGCTGAGTTTCCTTTGTCTTTCCAGATTCTGCGACACAGCAAGCAAGTGCTGCCACACATCGCGCGTCTGTGCCTGATCTCCACAGGCTCTATACTATATATTATATACTATATACCTGATACATACAGGTACAAAGCAATTACTGCAGATTCGAGCAATATTGATGGAGAGTTTCTCTTCCTTTCCAGATTCTGCGACACAGCAAGCATGTCTTGCCGCACATTGCACGTCTGTGCCTGATCTCTCCAAGCAATGGACCAAGGGTGCTCCTTGGCTACCCAAAATCTGGGCTCCCCTCCCAAAATGTTTTTTTCTAAGTATTTTCTCTAAGTATTTTCATGAAAATTGCCTTTTTTTGGTGACATCAACTGATTTGGAAGCACCTCTCCCCTAAAAATTTCTGGTGAGACCCCTGATATGCTACAGGTGTATTTCATTGTCTTTCTACAATTGCATATCTGGTGATAAAAATGTGGGGCATATTTCTTTCCAGATTCTGCGACATAGCAAGCATGTCCTTCCTCACATCGCACGTCTGTGCCTGATCTCCACCTTCCTGGAGGACGGCATTCGCATGTGGTTCCAGTGGAACGAGCAGAGGGACTACATCGAGGCCACCTGGGGCTGCGGTTACTTCCTCGCTTCCCTCTTCGTCTTCATCAACCTGGTGGGACAGGTGGGAGGGTGTGTGATGATCCTCAGCAGACAGAAGGTGCAGTGGGCCTGCGGACTCCTGTCTGCCATCATTGCCCTACAGGTGGGACTACTACACTATGACTAGACATTCATTGTCTTATTAACTTCCTAGCGCTTAGTCACAGGTGCAGATGCAGGGCGCAAAATCCTTTTATTTGGTGACACCTCACCAAAACTCGGCGAGGGGTGAACAGAGACATTATCTTACTTCCTACTTACATCATGTATACAGGATACAGTACTTAAAGTTTCAAGTATTCAGATTTAAGTTGCTGGTAGCAGATACATGTAGGTTATGAATGCATGATTGAAGGTTGGGTTTACAAATCAGAAGTTATGTGTGGAGCATGTGTGTGTATGTGTCTGTCTGTAGGTGAGAGAGAGCAGTATGAATAAGTGTAAAATTACATGCATTACATGCATTGTATAACAGATATGAAGCAAATATAGGGATTGCAGACTCAAGCAGAAATGACGCATTGTCCATGGTACACACATACACCTAATTGTTGTGTTATAAAAAAGACTATAAGTGATTGACTTGTGTTATGATACCATGTGTACTAAGAATTGGTATGATGCAGCCAATTCTCAGGCCCAAAACATGGATCTTTACACCATATTATCTCTGACTTATACATGTACAATCTTTATCACAGGGACAAATCATACAGAATTATCAAATGTTAATCGTATTTTATGCAGTTAAAAGATCTTAGCCTAACTGGTCAGTTAAAAAGAATAATGAACATTTAATCATATTGAAATAAAGCTTTTTTTACTCCAGTCTTTACTTTATGCTGTATTAATAATATACATTGCCACTTTCCTACTAATACTCCGACTACCATGTGTTGGTTTGTGTGATCCTTGAAGTTGAAGACATAGGCTAGATGAGGATAAAGAATACACAGAATTCCTAGAAACTTGACAATAAATCTCTTTGCTGTTTCATACCCAGATGTACATATATATATTTTTGCCGATGTCTTCCATATAGTTAACAGCCACCTACTCCAATGCGCAGTCCTATGTTTTTATTTAGCAATCTCTCTCGGCGGAGACTTGAAACAGAAAGTATCTTGCCTTCTTCCAGCTCTCCCTTTTTACAGTTTTTTTTTGTGCGGGATGCGAAGGTTTTCTTGTGGTGGTGTTTTTGGCGGACAGGCACCTGCAGCTCTGTGTTTTCTCCTTGCAGGTCCTCATGTATAACCTGTTATCCGAGTTTGACTACATCTTCAGGTAAGACACAACTTTGAATATGACTTTACTATGTCCTTGTACAGGGTTCTAGCTAGTGCAAAGTAGCGTAGGGGCCCCCTATTCTATAATTTTGACCCCCTACGCTATAATTTTGGCCCCCTATGCTAAATTTCCCCCCTATGCTAATTTTTAATACAGCATAGGGGCATTGTGACTGTATTTGTTGAAGAATGCCGATCAAATGTGAAAATCAAATGTGAAAAATCAAGGATACATTGTACATACCTTAGAAATAACATTTTTTCCCTTTGGGTATCCCTCAAATGACCTCTTTTTAAGCTCCCTCATCATGCGGCTAGTGCCACTACGCTAAAATTAAATCCTAGCTAGAACCCTGTTGTACTAGTTTTCGTAGCATACAATATACACAAATTATACATGTAGCTAGTTTCCTTTAACTAAATCATAGCATACACATATTGTACAGTGGCAAATTTTGCTGTTGTGGCATTTGCTACTTTCAGTTCTATTTACATTTTGTAATGCAAGTGTTTTGTTAGCTGATGTTTCAGTGACTGTCACCTTTCTCAGAGCGTCAGAGCATATCTGACTGGTTTACATTGTGTTTGGGATTGCATCTTTGCCGCACAATGTGAACCAGTCAGAATTGCCCTGAGGAAGGTGACAGACGGTCACTGAAACAAAACACATGCTTGTCTTAATCTTAATTTAGTCAGTTACCGACCTGATGAAACTATTCATACATCATAATATTCTATATCTGTATAGCCAGTATAACCGCCCTTTGGTGTAAAACAACAGCTTTGGAACCTGTATCTGTATAGCGAGTATAACCACAGTCATGATGTGTTGAGCGTGTTAGAACAGGGCTTTCCCTCTTCTCCCCCCAACAGGCAGCTGGCTCTAGCGGGCGCCATCATCCTCCTTCTAGCAGAGTGCTTCGCCGAGACCAAGCCCCTGCTCGCGGGCGTGCCAACCTCTGAGGAGGAAGACATGAAGAAGCCGAAGACGTACCTCCAACTTGTCGGGCGCATCACCGTTCCCCTGATGTTCCTTCCCCTGGTCCAGTTCGGGAAGGGGTACTTCCACATCCTGCAGAATCTTGTAGGTTTTGCCCTGATGGTGCTTGTGATGATCGGCTACAAGACGAAGCATGCGGCGGTGATCCTGTGCCTGCAGCTGTTCGTCCTGAACGTGTACCTCCACCCCTGGTGGATGCATCGGTGGGGGAGCGCCATGCAGGACTACCTCAAGTACGACTTCTTCCAGACGCTGTCCGTCATCGGCGGCGTGCTCATGGTCGTAGTCATGGGCCCGGGGAGTCTCAGTCTTGACGAGCGGAAGAAATATGAGTAACACGAGAACACACGTACATGTACAAGGCTGGAAATACTGGGTAACTAACATGAAATGCTGGGTACATATGCACGTTGGTGTAGGTAAAATGATGATGATGATGGTGTAGGTAAAATTGGAGCTGTGAACTGAAACCATTGCCATCATTTATTTCATACTTCAGAAACATAGATTATATAGCCAATATAGCTAATATTATTAGGATGCACACACATGTATATAAACCCAGTACATGGGCCCGGGGAGTCTCAGTCGCGACGAGCGCAAGAAATACGAGTAACTAACACAAAAACATGCGTATGTGCTAGTACAGGGCTTGAAATACTAGACTGGCTACCAAACCTATTATAGCTCCTGAGCCCTAGGTATACGTCCTCTCCGCAAATAGGATGTAGGACCTTGAAGCTACAATAAGTTTGGTAACCAGGCTATCGAAACACCCTTTTCTGCATACCTGCATTGAAAATTGCCTACTCCAGACAAATTTAGAAAATATGGATCATACTAAGACTGTTCAGAAACCATTGCCATTACAGTATTTCTTTTACACTTCATATGTGGTGACAGCCAGTCTAGCTAATAAAACAAACAAAAAAGTCCACCTACATTGTACGCCTATATCTGTATATAAACCCAGTACATTGGCAGAAATATCTGCACAGCTCCAATGTTGCCTGCACCAAATTATGCAGGTGGTATTTCCAGCCCTGTACTGTAGTAGGAGTTTTGAAACTGCCAAGCCTTCCCTACATCTGATATGTATTTGTAGTGACTGATGGCAAGAACTTATCAGAGAGAAAAGCATCCTGTGCTCTGCCCTACTTGTTATGGATATAGTATCACAGGTCTGAACTAAGATACAGTAGGCACGTCGGCAGAACATACTGCGCCTGCGCAGAACCCTGTATTTTCGCGTTTTTGGTCAACGTTGCATCAGAATTTTGCCTGTTGCAGAGGATAGTCTTTCCGACATTTGGAAACTACTGTCGAAATGCTAACCTTATATGAGCGAATACAACCTTATATGAGACATTCTGCCGAAATGCTATGTACAATACAATACGGGTTTCGCGCAGGTGCAGTACATTCTGCCGACGTGCTGATACAGTATTGCCTTTGCTAGACTATGTATATTAAGAACTGCTGCTGTCTGATAGCTAATATTGTAGGACTTTATATGGGTAGAGTAAGGACTAAACAGTATAAGGTGGGGGTTGGGGAAGAAATGTCATCAGGCATGGTGTACTGTAAGGCTTCATTGGTATTGTTAGAGAGTTGCAGCCATTCCTAAAAGATCTTTTACTGTGAAATGCTGTGGTTCACAAGTTATTACATGTTATAATCATGTGGCATGAAATACGCATTCCTCTACTTTCTGTCAGATTGTGAAACAAACATAATTGGGAAAAAAAGCACCTACGTAATTTGAATATCTTCTCAATCAACATTAGTATGGTGTGCCATCTTCCTTCACACTTACTATAACTTGGGAAAAATTTGCTTCAGCACCAAGAAATGTGTGCCAAGTTGCTGTGGCTTATCAAACCTTCTGCAGCATTTAACAAGTTATTTGACAATTGTGTGTAGAAACAGATTGATGCCTTGTAGGTTAAGTTTGGCACCAAGCTTAAATAACTTTCCAATCATGGTGATGTGTTAATTTTCATTGATGAAAGTTGTGGTCCTGAGGATCAATGTGATACATGTACTAAGCTTCTCTTGTTCACAGCAAAGTAAGAGTACTGTTTCAACAAGTGTATGATGCTCTGAATGCTGCATACTGGATATACATGTACTGCCAATATGTCCATCGAAGTCACAACACTTACAAACACTTATTCTCTTAGAAATAAGCTTATGCTGTATGATCTATTCCAGCACAGTATCATTTCTAGCACAGAATAACAAATAAGATGTTTCATGCGTATGGAGTTGTATTTTTAACATGCATTTGAGGTAGCTTGAAAGGCATTTCCATAATCTGTTAAAACAGTTGAAGGGAAAGACAACATTGACTGGATATGTTGCATTTAATACCTATTTTCATTTTTTTTTACAGTTTCCTAGCTAAAGTTTATGCAGAAAATCTTGTCATTTTGTATAATGGAGCTGATGTTAATTTATTTTTTTTTTACACAGGTTATTTTTGCTATTCCACTCCCCCCTATCCCTTTACTGTACAAACTTCATTTTTCGCAAAAGTCACAAGTCACAAAAAGTAGAAATATATTCATGGCTCTACTTAAACTAAAGTAAAGCGTACTAGTAGCTTTGTCGATGAAGGTTAGACATCCAGGTAATACGATACGCCAAAAAGCAGTTACTCAAGCAACTGGATATGATTTTGGAAATGGTCAAAATCATATCCAGTTGCTTGAGTAACTGCTTTTTGGCCTAGTAGCTTTGTGTGAATATAATCATGTACCCTGGAATTCTTTGTCCATTTGCCATGTTTCCTGTGGATCTAAATAAACTCAAACTCAAACTCCTGTATCCTGTATGTAAGCCATTATTCCAATGCAAGGCTGTGCTGTTTTGAGCAATCTGTAGATACTAGTAGTTAAACGTGAGATGCAGAATAAACATCTTTTGAGTCTTGAAATGAAAGTCTCTTTAGTGTTGAATATGTCTCATTCTTTTATGATGCAGAGGCACATAATATTACATGTACTTCAATGTATACACTATTGGATGCTTGTCTGCATGTGTGCTTCTGATTTTACTTAAACTTGACATTGGGTCGCTAGTGATTTCTCAGTTTTCTAGACGGGAAGCTATATTGCAGGGAGGTAGCAAAATGGTTGTCTCCAAGTATGGGCCGATTTCCTTCCTTTGATAGATTTTGAAATTGCCAAGAAACATTCAGATTCAAATTTAGGTAGCTAGGTTCTCAATAATTGAACTTAATCTTTGATAGATTTTGAAATTGCTGAGAGACATTCAGATTAAATTTATGTGGGTAGTTTCTCAATAATTGAGCTTAATCGTTAATGTTGTGTTTTTCTGTCCTTACAGACTATAGCTTACAGTATCCTGTGGGATATCAACTTCTTAATGAGGTAAGATGACATTACATAAGGTACCATTTTGGCACAACTATAAAATTATCTTTACGTAAAACTGCAACATATCATAGCAATTATCTATGGACCAGAACCACTCATGATATGTCGTTAGTTTAGTTTATTTATTTGCACATGTTTAAAAACAAAAAATTGTATAAACACATACAAAAGAAGACATGCTAGGGGTAATTGATCTTGTGTCCTTTGGAAAGGCACTTTATGCAACTTTCCCCACTTAACTCAAGTGAAAATGAGTATTGTCTGTCCTGTATTTGTTTTTATGTGTGGGACACAACACCAGCAACAGCTGCCTTTGTCCCACATGTATTGTAGTGTTACAATTTTCGTTGAATCAAATCAAAATGATGATCTGATGGCATTTGTAACCCAATATTTTGTTCCCACCAATCCAGGAACCTGGCCCTTGCAGGAGGTCTGCTGCTGCTGTTGGCAGAGAGCAAGGCTGAGGGGCGGAGCCTGTTTGCTGGCGTGCCGACCATGGGAGACAACAACCCCAAGACTTACATGCAGCTGGCTGGGCGCATCCTCCTCATCCTCATGTTCCTCACACTTATACGATTTGGTGCTGTAAGTATAACCTGTACATCCATCCTCACGTTCCTCACACTTACAAAATGTGATTTGGGGCTGTAAGTCATGTTTCTGACACTTATACGATTTGGTGCTGTAAGTATAACCTGTACTTATATCATACCCTATACATCCATCCTCATCTTTCTCACTCTTATACGATTTGGGGCTGTACATATAAGATGTACAGTACAGCTAAACCTGCTAAATCAGGCCACACAGGGGACCAAGGTCCATGTTAAGTGATCTTCTCTCACAAGTAGCCTTGTTGGACAGGTTGCTTAATGGTTGTGCCTATGGAAAAAAATTGGGGACTAGGAGAAGGTGGTAGTTGTGATGTTTTGACCACCAAATGGCTACCTTAAAGAGTTGGCTGCTTGGGCAGGCTTGACTGTACCCCCAGTCTCTCTGAATTGATGATTGTGGATGACATCCTGTGAGCACCCCAAAAGTGATGTGAGTGTGCAAAGAAAAAACTTGGCCTTCAGACAAAGCTGTCTGTTAATCTTTAAATGATTAAATGTATCCTACTGTACTGCAGATTTATTTTGTTTCAACCTTGAACTTGAAACATTCTTAACTCAAAATCTAATCCCTGGGAACATAATACAATTTACCGTGATGATCTTGTATTACCATAATTCCTTCCCTTCTTAACCCAAAATTAGATCTCTTCAAAATAGCTGAATTTACGGTGATGATTTTATATGCCCTCAGGGTTACGTGCAGGCTTTCCAGAACATAGTTGGCCTCTGTCTGATCATCCTGATTGCGGTGGGGTACAAGACCAAGCTCTCAGCCCTGGTCCTGGTCATACAGCTCACCCTGCTCAACTTCTATCTGAACGACTGGTGGAACATCCCAGACTACAAGCCCATGCGCGATTTCCTCAAGTACGACTTCTTCCAGACCATGTCTGTGATTGGTGGACTGTTGCTCGTGGTGGCGCTAGGCCCCGGGGGAGTCAGTGTAGACGAGAGAAAAAAGCAGTGGTAGTAGGACGATTGGAGTTACTCATGTGCCATTGGAGAGAGAGAGAGGGAAAGGCATTTTATCCGACAGTGTCACCTTGTTTTTGTGATTCATTCATTTCCGTGTTCCTAGGAACATAGTACATGTTAGGTTGATGAAGTATATAGTAGAGGGGATTCATTCCTCAAGATAGCCGACATCTTGCACATGCAGTCGTCCCTCAGTAAGACATCTAGAGCCGCATAGTTCCCGTTTAGGACTTTTATTCAGCCTGTCACACAAAGTTCTAAACGGGAACTATGTGGCTCCAGATGTCTTAATGAGGGACGACTGCGTGTGCAAGATGTCGGCTAGCTTGAGGAATGAATCCCCTCTACTATATACTGTTTAGTTGTTGAAGGTTAGACATCCAGGTAAAACAGTATTCAAACTCTACTACTGGAGAAATTACAGAGGTAACTTCTGGACGTTTCGAGTGACGGATAAAGGTCTGAAAGTTCTGTTATTTATCCAGTAGTAGAGTTCGAATTGTCTTTAAACATGTTCTTTGGATTATCTGACAGGGTTATGAAAATGAAAATCACATTCATATAAGGGAATATCAATTAAGAAGCAGTCATGTAGAGTTTTGATAACTTTTTTTTTCTACAAAGAATCAAAGGTATGAGAAGTACCATAGGGGAAAGCTGCTTGATATAAAAGTTTACATCCAACATTGAACATCTTTGTCCCACCCATAAAGAATGTAGGCTAAAGTTATAAAGTGTAACACAGATATACTTCTGATGTGGCTTGAATTTGTGATAGCTTGGTTGCTTGAAAGTCATTGAAATCACATCAGAAATTTGGATCCATGGTAAGAGAATTGAAGCCAACCAATCTAGAGTTGCTTCTCTCAATAGTACTAGTTAACATCAACAAAGTTTTAGAGGTAGAGTTAATATTTGGAACAATATTACATGTGTACAAATTGAAGCATAAGTGTAGGCTTATTATAAAACTCACAGGGCTTTCTCTCTAAGACTTGTACATGTAATTCTTGCAAAAAAAAAGTACTTGTACATTTAGGTAAAAGAAAGTAGCAGACACAAGATTAAGAGAAGTATTTTTTGAAATGGCAGTTGATGATAGTTCAAATGTTATTTGACGTATGTACTTGTAAAAGACATGGGTAAGTGTTGGCATTTGTACTACGTACATGTAAGTTATGTAATCCTAGTTGTACAGTAATTACAGTAAGAAGAACAGTATAGTGGCATGATTTTTTGGCAAGCTAAATGGTTATGTATTTCTGCCAGTAGCGTCAGATTTTGTATTCTCCAAGCAGATCTTTTGGTGGGGGTAAGACAGTATCAAATTGGCCAGTCTGTAACCATTTCCCCACCCTTTTGGTGGTTACCTTACCTTAGACCTTAGGTCCTCCTGTGCCTACAGGCACATTGGGCAGCAAGTTTCCATCTGGGTCGAGTAGCTGCTGCCTCCTCAGCCTCTTCCCAGGCGATGTTGGCCCTCTTGAGGTCCTCCTGAAAGGTTCTTCGCCAGGTGTTTTTTGGCCGACCTCTCTTCCTTCTGCCCCCTGGTGGCACCCAGGTGGTTAGGTGGATACAGACTGGCCAATCTGATACTGTCTTACCCCCAGCAAAAGATCTGCTTGGAGATTACAGATTTTGCAGACGTGTAACTGCCCACCTGTATTTCTCACAGTATGTTTAAATCATGATCTGTATTTGTCAACTGCTTACTTGACTGTATACTGTGTTCGCTTGTCCATGACAAAATGTATTGCGTGTCGTAGCTACTTTCTATCCTCCATAACACGCAAAAAAACTGGGGGTCTTCGAGGTCTTTGGAATCTTTTATGTGCTAGTTTCTGATTGCATATAGACAACATAGTCTGCCTGGTTGAATTACCCGTTTTTAGAACTGGGGTAATCAGAAACCAGCCGAAGACCACCGAACCCCCAGTTCTATAAGATTGCTACGGAGGCTAGCTACTTTCAGATAATGAAGCATACTGCAATCATTTCTTATGCCCATCATAAAATGCCCCACAGTAAACTAGCCTGGGTACCATCCTGGTTTATTATGTTAACCGAAGGAAAACATATTGTTTTTGCTCAATTTCCTCCTCTTCTTCTTCTCCAAACAGTGACCCATGACCTGACCAATGACATTACTTGTGGATACCTGTCACCATGGTGACTGGTGTTGGGTTACATACTGTTGCAATTTCATGGTCTGCTCTGCTCTTGTCACAATATACTAGTAGTACATGTATGTGAATGTGTTTGAGTAAGAATTAACAGAGCAGACCATATGCGAAGGTAAACATTATGCATTTGCTTTGCAAATATTACTTTTCTAGTATAATAGTTAACATCTTATCCAACAGTCGTAGCAGACGTAAACTAACCAGGATGGTACCCAGGCTAACTTTAACCATATGTATACACTTGATATGATGCCAGCAGCCCTTTTGAACCAAAAGGTGGAAAGCTTCTGGTAATCATACAGCATTTATTTGGCGTCCAAACTGATGCTAACCTTTAGCACAATGAAGTACCAATTCTCTATTGGTTACGGGGTTAGGCAGCAGTGAGGAGGTTTAAAATACAGTAATAGGCTCTCATCAAATATTGCTAAAATGATTTTAGCCCATTTTACTCTCCAACTTCTCCAGAAACCTTGGTGAAGATGTGATGGTGCTTGTTGGAACCTTAAGTGTGATGTATTTTATTTGTTAATTATCGTGATAACAATATATTCCTGTTCAATGTTCACAACATATCTAGAACGTATCATCCAAACATAAGGCTGTTACTTGAAAAAAACAGTGAGCAAGATGGCAATTCCACAAAAAGTTGCACAGTTGAAACTCTTGATCAGTCTAAAGCCAATGCCCCCCTTACTTTTTGTTCTTTTTTCCTTCCTGCTATTTTGCCCTAGCCTCTACCAGGCACCATGGATCGCTGGAAAAATAGTAGAAATTGGCCGAACTAAAGGAATAATATACCTACGGGTCGCAAATTGGATCTTCTCTGGCCGGCTACCTGTCCTGGTATATTATTCCTTTATTTAGGCCAATTTCTACTATTTTTCCAGCGATCCGCGGTGCCTGGTAGAGGCTAATTTTGCTCACCTATTTTTTCTGCCAACAGCCTGACTGCCAGATTCCATTAGTTGATTGCACATTTGTACTGATATTTATTCATCCATACATATAACTGTTTAACCTGGTCTATTGCTATTTCCACAAAACAAAGACTGTGCAATAATTTGAAGCTTCATGTGTCAAAAGATGAAACAAATTGTGCAGTTCTGACTCTTGGATGGTACAGAAGGGTAGGTTGTGTTTTTGTGATTACATTTATCAAGTAAATCTGCATTTGGTATCCTGTGATAGTCCCGACTCCTTATTTGTGCCATTTTAAAGTTGTCAGTGATCAAATCCTTGTGCTGTTGAGCAAAACGAGTAACTTAAGTGCTTAGTCAGTAAAAAGAGCTTTTTTGTTGATGGGGGGGGGGAGATATTATTCTGATAACATAAGTTCTGGGGAGGTAGGTTTCTTTTATGGTGGCAACATACAAGAAACGAAGTATCGAGAACTGATGCATGAATGCCATCCAAAAAGTACATTATATAAGTCCACCAAAGGTGAGACCCGTACACATGATAATCTCCAAGCAGATCATACGGTGGCAAGGCAGTGTCCATTGGCCATGGTACAATGTACGTTTTCAAGGGTCCCATGTCACACTTAAGGACGCGGGGCACTATGGGTAGCACAGGGCACAACAGCAATGAGAGGTTGGGGTATGGGGTCGTGGAACTCGTGGTGGTGTGGTTGAAAATCCGTTGCCCTGCTTTTCTTAACAAAAAAAAACTTTGGGAAAAGTACCTAAGTAACTGGTTCCTTTCTCAGCACTAGGTGTACAGAGGTGAGGCGGCTTCCGTCCTAGATCTCCAGTGCCGAAGTCATGTCAATACAAAATACAATGGTGTTGAGACAGTGGTGAGGCGGCTTCAGCACTGAAAAAAATCTTTGAATCGGCACTAGAAACTGAGATCTAAGAGTACCTTACACGCTCGAATCCAGTGACGACAAATATTCCATACTGTAACCCGTTACTTTGGTACCTTTGCGGAAGGCAGACACAGAATACATGTACTTCCGGATAGCCTTAGGTCAGTAAAGGATCGAGGTTAAATCCATGGGTCAGTGAAGCTAGACACACCTGCACGGCGGTAGTGACGTCACGGTTTTCCCCAGGTGACACGTAGTTTCACCGACAGGTACAGCACGGAAGAAAGTTGGCTCCAACTCGAGAAGCAATCGCAGTTTTTCTGACGACAATTGGTGAGTAGAACTACAACGTTTGTAGACTTAGTACATGTATTAAGGTGTAGTGCTCGTCATTCTGTATACTTTCCAGGCCAAAAGACCACACGAAAGAAGCTTTGAATATGAAACCTTGGCGGAAGGAAGGAAAATGAAACGAAAAGGGTGACAGAGACAAAACACTGAAAGGCAAGTCGCAGGTTTTACAGTTCCTTTTATAGTTTACTGAACAAAAAGCAGCTGCAGTTGAATGTTTTGGCGTAACCCTGGCGTTATTGTTCTACAGTGAACCAAAAAGAAGCTTTCAAAACCGTATACAATGAGACTTGCATAACCTACGATCCTAGTAAACAATCAGTGTACTTCACTCGACACTACGTTCGTTACTCAACATACTTTTATGTATAGAATTTTTTTCTAAAGGTAGGTATATACTAGTATATCTCCAAATAAAAATGAAGGAAGTGTATAGGAACACATACACCTGAAATATGTACTTTAAGACAGGATGTTTATTTACGCCATTAGTACATTGCAATGGTGACGTATAGAAACTTAGTACGTGACCAGCATACTAAGTGATGCAGCTCTATTGTAACTAAGGCGTACAGGTAATCTGTTGTCAACTTTCTGTGCTGTAAACTGCTGGACAAACAAATGCACACCGGCCGTAGCATAGCCAAGCTAGATCTACATCTGGGGAGTAAATTTTACACAAGGATATTCTACGTTTCTGTAGAACGTCACTGGTTTACAGAAAAGGTTTATATGACCGTAATTTTGATTCCTTGACTGTCTTATTTGATAGGTTCGACGCCCTGACGCTCGCAAGTATGGCTGACAGTGGACCTGCCAACGTCCCCACGCCGGGATTCTTTCACCTCGACTTGTTCATCAAAGACACGAAGGATATTTCTCAGTGGTACGACGAGCTAAAGACGAGGCTGGACCGAGAGACGGGGCCCATGGCAAGTGGCATGACCAACCTGCTAAGCGTCTTTGCGTTCTACAAACCACGCGGTAAAGGGGAAGCCCGAAAACTTTTGGAGGACCTCACTGCAAAGGACGAGACCAATCTCAACGCTATCGCCAACAAACAGTTTATGTACGGCCAACTGATGAGAGCCAAGGATGAGATGACGTGTAGGGATCGACTGCAGGAACTGTTGTCAGACGACTCGGATTATGCCAAGGCAAGAAACGCCCGCTGTTTTGCAGAACAAGCTTATGCCATTGCATTTGAAGTAATAGATCAGAGCAAGGATATGGTTTCAAAGATAAAAGAAGCCATCGGCCTATTCCAACGAGCCTTACGTTTGGCATGCGATACCGAGGCAGTGACCGTGGAAGAAAGTCTTGTTTGGAAATTCTACTTGAGCAAATGTCACTGGCGCCTCGATCAGGTCAAATGGCATGACCAGAAGACGACACCACCCGACAGGTTGGACGATTTACTTGAAGCACAAAGGCTTTTGATCGAGGTAACCCAGTTGGATCCAAGCTGGACACACGGTGGATTTTACATCGCACGGGCATGGGCTCTACTGGGAGGCGTAGAAAGTAAGTGCAGAAGAATTTGCAGAAGAACTTGCGAAATGTACGAAACTCCTGACTATCTCACCAAAGAAATACCTCGCCCAACAACAAGCCACATCGCGATTGGGCCATGGCCAGAGGTCGGTTGCTACGAAAAATCACTGGAAATCAATCCAAATGACAGCGAAGCCTACAGAAGGTTTGGACAAAGCTACATCCGTAGCAAAGATTACGAAAACGCCCTATGTATGCTGAACAAGTCGATTGATATAATGCCTGACGCCATAAGTAATTGGTTTGCGTACCACGCCAGGTCCTCTGCGAATTTTGGCATGTACAATCAACAGGCAAAGCATGCACAAAGAGGAGGAGAAATCCCTTCCAAACACTTGCTACAAAAGGCCAAAGAAGACGCCATGACCTCCTGTGAGGGTGCCATAACACCGTTCAACGTCTACCACCTAGGAAAAGTGTGTCACAGGCTTGCGATTCACCCGGTAACAGACAAGGTAGAGGACCGAGGTGAGTTGGAAGATGCCCTGGACAACTTCGCCCAAGCACTTCAGCTAGAGGACGGTTACACCAACCCCAAAATACATGCGGCCAGGGGGAGGAGCCTAGAAGCTGCTGAAGAGTACGAAAAGGCAGCAGAGTCGTACAAGCGTGCGGTGGAACACGAAAACGCCTTCTATTTCTGGAACTTCGCTGGTGTGCTGACAAACCTACTGAAGCTTCACAGAGCAGTAGACGGCGACGTGGACAGAACTAAACACTACATCGCAGAACTAGCCTTCTGGATCAACGAGGGCTACAAAAAGTACCGTGACATCACATCGGCCCTTCGCTATTGCGTATTCAATTTCGGGTATCAGATGATGCAGGTATGCAGGTACCTCGTCGATCACGACAGCTTCCAGCTCTCCAGGATTTGCCTGAAGTGTTTTCGAGACCACAACAGCAGAACATTTCGCACAGAAGCAGAGTCGATGTTGTCAGAAATACATGGTAAGACAGCGTGTGGTGAGATGGTGACACCTTCAGCACAGTACAGGCCACCAGAAGCACGCGCGAAGCTACCAGTGGCAGTGGACAAGCCGCGCCACTCGCAGGATTTCCAGTACGACTTTTTCGTGTCACACAGCAGCAAGGACGAGGACTGGGTGAACTACGCACTTCTACCGGCGTTGGAGGTGGACCTGCGATTCAAAGGTGTGTAGGTATCTTAACCTAAGGAACTGGTGTGTTACGCCGAAGGGCGGTTATACCGATACAGATACCTAGACGCCAATCATTACAATTTAGCCAAGTAACCAAAGATAGCCACGTAAAAATGTGCTGGGCTAAGGGTATCTGGTCGAATTTTGTAGCTCAACGCTACATGTCAGTTCATGCTTTGTTTTGTTTTTACATGTATAATGGACAAATATCTCTATAAGCCTATTAGCACTGTTGATATGTAACAATTTAACGTTACATGTCAACGCATGTTTTATTGTTTGATTTCTATGCAATGGACACGTATTTCTAAAAGCCTAACAACTGTTGATGTGTAACATGTCTTCCATCCAGGTTGCATAGCTGACCGAGACTTCATAGCGGGGAAAGACGTGTTCGCAAACATCATCGACAGCATCGAGAACAGCTTCAAGACCCTGTTGATCCTGACTCCGGACTTCGTGAACAGTGAGTGGTGCTTGTACGAGACAAAGCACGCCCTGATGGAGAGTCTGAAGGGGAAGACCGGTCGCGTCATCCCCATCATGCTGAAGGAGTGTGACGTGCCGGCTTCCGTGCGAACCATCACTTACCTGGACGTGTCGCACGATGCGATCGGGTCCTACGATTGGCGTAGACTGAAGGAAGCTCTAGAGGCGACGCCTCCAAATTCAGCGTAAGGAAATAATCTTTTTATATATATTATATTACAAGACCGTTTCCATACTTCCAATCCCTGGCTAATATTAGAAAAAGAATCATATCATCTTTCTTATACGGTTTGATCATCCTGTAATTAAACAAATTATATTCTTAACATTACAAAGAAACGAGAAGCCGAACATCTGTATTAGAGTAGTTTTAGAGCTGATGTAGTTAGATTAGTATCAGTATCAAATAAACTACCGAGTGAGCGAAGCGACAACCAGGCGTTATGCTACCGTAAACATTGTGGGAAAGGCGTTGTCACCGTAAACGTTATTGTCATAGAGCCAATTCAAACTGACACATTTTTATAAAGGCAAGGAAGACATGTACACTAGCCTTAAAACAGACCAATTTACTTAAAAAAATGTAAATTGAATCGCAAATAATACAAATCTGTATCCTCACAAATGGCATACAATAGAAACAATCCTCCTTTGGCAAAGGTAAATACAATGTGCATAATTCAAAGAGATACTACGTATACATACAAAGAATGCATTGCAAAAATTGAACATCAGTAGCAGTAGTGAATATGAGAATCTTTGTTCAAAGAATTTTACATGAAACAAGACTGAGTGTTAAATCATGATTAAATGTGTACGTAATGCAACAACTTCACAATATAGTGTCGTGAAAGCAATGCTCTGTCCAAGACATAGTTTTGCTGCCGATGAAATAAAAGAATTTCCGTCATTTAGTCCTTGACGTCCAAAACCAAAACTTCATGACATTTTTAATAACACAGTGCAACCAAAACTGCCACAAAATTATAATGACATTAAAAATTTGTCCCTCAATAGGAGTGAAATAGAAATAGTGCTTCAGGGGGGTAGAATTTGTTGCAGGAGTGCCCAGCATCTTGAATACTCAACATGCTCCAAGCTTTCCAGTATTGTCATTGGTCAAAAATTTCAAATGTAACATACCAGTAGTCATTGAAGCACAATGAATGTACAAATGGCACTGTTAGCATGTGCATTGTAAACAATACGAATATGGCACCAAAAGACCTCAGAAGGTAGATTGCTACTACCATGTAAAACAACTGTTTTGGAATGTGGTATGGGTTTTAGAGACAAAAAAATGACCACAAATTCATGCTAAAGGGACAAAAAACAACTTGATGGTCAAAGAGCCAAAGTTGTCAAATTAGTATCCAACACAGAATTCAACAAAAAATCTCATTTCCATAAGTAAATGAACTTCAAGATTAAACATTGATTCAAATCAGACCCCTAAAAGTGTAATAAATGCTTATTTTTCTTTAACTTCAATCTCAGAACAATCCTTTCCCAGTACTATAACAGTTTCTCAAAACACAATAAATCTCAAACTGTTAAAAAATCCATTCAGTGCTTGCTTATACTGCTAAATACTGCAATCTTACATTTGTATGATAGTCCAACAACTTCAACTGCATATAAATTTTGATGTCCGACAATTCATTTGGGTAGAAAAGTAGTTTGAACTTTCTGCATGACTATGAGATTTGTAATTGCATGTACACTTCTTAAATGAAATCATATGCAAGTGCTTAAATAGATTAGAATTCTAGAATATCATTGGCTAACTTAATTCAACTTACTGTATAACAGTTAACGTTAGATGTTGAACAATAAAAAACTTGGCTATATTGTCATGACAGTTTTTCACTGCACATTTATATGTATTTCCACATGTACATTTATATTACAGTGATAGCATATGTAATCTACCATGTCAAGAAATTCATGTTCCTCAGAAATACATGTACAATGTATGTAAAAGGTTCAATAAAATATCTAAATGTTCTCCACAATACTATCATGAAAGTTCATCTGTGTTGGTAGTTACATGTTTAGAGTTAAAACGTTTGGTCCAACACAAAAAATTCTCTCACCCAGAGCTTTCAACCAGTCACTCTGGTCTTCCTCAGTAGACTGACCCAGTGAAGCTTGTCACCTGGCTTCTTTGAAGTGTGACGTCAACACTGGGTCAAAGCTCTAGGTGAGAGAATTTTTGGCGACGTCTCAGGGAGGAGCCTAATGGTACAGTATTGTGTGCAGTTTGCAAGAATTCTAGGAATTGTGCAGGCATTTTGTCCACAGGTATGCCGAATGTCCACAGGCATTTTTCTGACCCACATCTATGCCCACATTCCTGAAACCCTTGGGAAGACCTCTCTGCCCCAGATGGCCCTACTTTCTGTGACCCCGGGACTCGTTCACTATACACTCAGGGGAAGATACTAGTAGCACTGTATCTGTCTAGACTTAACAGGTACCAAGGCTTCCTCAAAATCATGAAATGATGGCAGTGCCATGCAAACAATAACCCTAACAGCAACCACCGTCGCCATGGCAATGTATGTTTTTATTGCCAGTCTTGTTTGTGTTGGACCAAAAGTTCTCCACAATGTTTGTCACAAATGATGTCAAAATACTCCAAAAGTGACACAGTTTCTAGTCCGACATGGATGGGTCCAGGACTTTCAGGGCTCCACCAATCAGGTGCAAGCTGCCGGTGATGAGCACCTGGATGTGGACTGCCTCATCCAATGAGGAGTGAGGATGGCACTGCGTAGAGTTCGACCTTGACAGCTCCTTGTCCTTTCCGTGCTGTACCCAGGAAAGAGCGTCACTGATACAGGGGAAGACGCGCGCTTTGGGGGAGTCTAATTTTTCTTCTGATCTTCCTTCCTCTCTGCTATTCCCTGCTACAATAGTACTATCTGTGCAGTAGTATTTCGATGGTACAGATCCGCTTGCCCCGACTTGCACCCTCTTGATTGGCCCGTTTGAGGTACAACATGCCTTCTCTACATAATCCACCTGTAAACCGTCGCCTGATTGGTTGTCCACGGGACTCCTGGTTTGTAAGGGCACTTCTGATTGGACGGCGTCCTGTTGGTGTAGCTCCTCCCAGAGAGTCTTCTCCACCATACATCTTGAGAGCTGTGTCTCGTTGGTGACTGTGTAGTTGGTTTGATCTGAGAATAAAGAGACAAGAAGACAGCTATATATAACTACATTGGGAGGCAAATATAGAAAGAAAGAAAATATAAATGAACAGCTTTATAGTTCTCAAAGTAGCCTTTATCCTATGCCTGAAGCTGGAAAGTTTTTGGACCACCGCAGTAGGGGATGCATTTATGGATGCTCACATAGAAGGAATTTCAGGAATATTTCCGAACCAAGCTTAATAAAGCCCAATACTAAAAGCAGAGTCCTCCTGAAGTATTGAAAAACTAAAAAGCACTGGCTGCCCCAACGGCTGCCCCAGCTATGGGAGAGAGAGAGTGAGTGAGTGAGTGAGTGAGTGAGTGAGTGAGTGAGTGAGTGAGTGAGTGAGTGAGTGAGTGAGTGAGTAGTAGCAGTAGCTGACATATTTAAGTAGCATCAAGATTTTCACACAGCCCTGTACTGTTAATCATCTCTTACATGTAAGTGTGTTTGCTTATTTGCTTTTTAAATCACCTGCTGATGCTCCTACGTCCAGGTATGCGATATTGGGGCTGAACACGGCACAGTCAAACTGGCAGGGCTGTAGGACACAAAAACAGCAACATCATAGAGTGAAGAAAATTTGACAAAGCACAAGTCCTTCATGTACATGTACGAATGTAGATACTCTCTAACAAGTCAGGCTTTCTTTGTTTGGTGGCAGGTTCTTTTATGTGCTTGAGATGTGGCTCTCCCTCGGTTTTATGTCTCATCTAAGAGGATGCCCCTAACTAAAACTAGGTACTGGTACTACAATATACAACTTCAGTCAAGCTTGATAGGTTTCACTTGTTTTAAAGCTGTACTGTATGAGATAGATCACTAGAGATCACCAATTTAGTCTTAAAAAAAATAAAGTAAAAAAAGAAGATAATCCCAACCTAGCGACCTTAATTTTTTCTGGACTGAAACGGAAAACACAACATTTCCAAGGCGTAGGCCTTCTAGAGCACTTTTCAAGCTACATGTATTTGCAGCTGAGCACAGTGGTGCGACCTACCATGAGAAGCTTGAGCAGAGACAGGGGATTCCTGTCCCCCGTCACATTAAACAGCAGAACCCTCGCCACCGGCCCGGCGATCGTCTTTTCCTCCGTCAGGGCTGTCTCACGGAACCACTTCACACACACCTGGACGCAGAAGAATGAAGAAGAAGAACTTGATTGCACAACAGATGTAACGGGTAAAACCTATGACACAAATATATCTACATAGTTGGTGTATAAATGAATGAATGAACTTTATTGCTCAACAATTATACATGGTACAATGTGTGGCAGTAAGACAACAATACTACAAAACTAAATTAGCGATCATCTATTTCATGAAATAAAAATATTTAAGATGAATTTCACTTTGTTATGACTTGTCCAACTTATAAAAAATATAGATACAGGTACAGACTATTACTACCAAGACAAAGTTCACCCTATCTGGTACACAGAACGATACTTTCCTTATATGTTGTTTGTGTCCAACTCCCATATCTGCCTACGTAGGTCAATTTCTGTATACCTTATTCCATAAGCGAGACAAAACCATCAATACATGACCATATTGAAACTCACTTATTATTATTATCAATAGTAGTTTGTTGTAATAATTGTAAGATAGTCAATATTTAAAACCATTTCACACACACCTGAACACTCCTCTGTGTGTGCGCTCCGTCGAGGTAGTACGTCACGTTGCCCCTCTTCAGTGTCTGGCTACGTCCCGGCCACAGGCACGACTCAACACCTGGGAGAATAAAAATGAAGGAATAAGAAAAAAATGTTGGTCTCTGTTGGGATCAAAGCATTCTTGTGTTGATGTTCAGAAAAACAAAACTGGGGTATACGTACAGGATATTGAAGTTTTTTTTTACACAACTAGTGGAATGAAACATAAAGCAATAAGAAAAAACGTTGGTCTTTGTTGGGACCGAAATATTCTTGTGTTGTGTGGAAGTTTCCTAACAGAAAAACAAAACTTTTGCTTATTAAATAAAATGATTCCTAAACATTTTACTTTGTGTTGCCTACAGGTTACCTCTCAATAAAAATATATTCTTTACTAGCTTTTGTGTAAGTACGTGGACATGCTACAAATTTTATGCAATTCAAAGCTTATGCAGAAACTTAACTGATTTCATATACAGAAAACATGCCAGCCATAAAATCACTACAAGCAATATAATCTCCCAAAGGCCTATATGAAAAGATACCTAAGTTAAAGGTTAAGAGGAGATCTTTAGAAAAAGAATCTTTTTTAAAATCAATGATAAGTAATGATATATAGGTAAAGCTTTTAAAATAAAGCCTTTTTCCAACTGCCTCTGATAGGTCCAAAACACCCTTAAAAACTACAGCAACAGTGATCACTGAGCAGGTTAAAAAAAAATTTGAATGATGAACATTACATAGTATTAGAATGCTTTAAAGCAACCGTAAAAGAAACTGCACAGAAGCAAGAGGCATACATTTCCCTGCCAAACCTTGAGCAAAACGCTCAGTGATGGCAAACGGCTGCGCTGTGGGGACGATGTCGGTTTTGTCCTCCTCATTTGCGGGGCTGCTGGCTCCCTCACTACTACTCGTGGCCTCCAGCTCCCCATTGGCTACTGGGATTAAAAAGAGAAAGTTATCAAGTTAACATTGGTAACATTACAAAATCCAAACACAAATTTTGCCTCTTTAGTTTGTTGTGAATTTATGAGTCACATAACCTCTTATGGTGACCACAAGTCAAATATAACAAAGTATAAACTATATACATTGTAATTAAATTTTACATTGGAACTTCTTACTGGCTATGCGCCACTTTTAAACTTTCTACCTGCATCCCTTTTTCTATAGTCCTTGAGCCACACAGGCCACTACAGCAGGGGGCTAGTCCTGTATACTTTTTTTCAAGTCTTGACCCAACAGGGGATTGAACCCCAACCTTCCGAATGCATTTGCAAACACTCTTTTTCCTAGGCCATTGCACAGGACTTACTGCTGTCTACTTCTTGAGTCTCAGCCCTCCTCTGTAGCCAGGTGTGGCAGAGGTGGAGGGCCAGGGTGGCGTTGATACGCTGGCCCTCCAGTAGTGTCTACTATTGTTCTGTTCTTGGCACAAACTAGCCAGGGTTTGAGCCCCAAACTTCAACATATACAAGGCAAAATCTCCTAGGCCATTGTACAGGACTTACTGCTGTCTATTTCTTGAGTCTCTGCCCTCTTCTGTAGCCAGGTGTGGCAGAGTTGGAGGGCCAGCGTAGAGTAGGGTGCTAACATGCTTAACTTAAATACTCCTAATGCTCCTACTTCCTCACAAGTGCTAGGCAGTGCAGAGAAATAGTGCATACTTTTTTTCAAGTCTTGACCCAACAAGGGATTGAACCCAATCCCAACCTTCCGAATGCATTTGCAAACACTCTTTTTTCCTAGGCCATAGCACAGGACTTACTGCTGTCCAATTCCTGTATATTTGAAAGTTTGGGGGTTCAAATTCTAGGATTTGAGCCCCCAAACTTTCAAATATACATGGCAAAATCTCCGAGGCTATAGCACAGGACTTACTGCTGTCTAGTTCCTGCATTTCCGCCCTCCTCTGTAGCCATGTGTGGCAGAGTTGTAGGGCCAGGGTGGCGTTGATGCGCTGGTGATCACCAGGCAGGCCCAGCTTAGCCTCACGTCCCTCCCAGTCATACATGTCCAGACTGGGACTCAGGTGCAGGGGGGCCTACAGGAAAACACACAACACAGAACATTTCAGTCAAGTTTATTGAGATTCACAGTTAAATTGTAGCTACAAATGTGTTCTTTCTGTGGTTCTTATTGCAGAATATGCACATGTACTACCTTACCTTACCTTACTTCACCTTAGTTCCTCTTGTGTCACAACGCTACATAACACACTAAAAGTTATATAGAATATGATGTTACATGTAACGTTACAGAACGATTACAGAAGAAATCATAAAAGATAAGTCTTAAGAGGGTAAATATGCCAATATACATGTACCACATACAATGTACCAATATAAGACATACCAATGTTGCATGTGCCTTACAATTTCAAACCATTCCACGTATGAGACATTCTGTATATTTCACAGGTCAAATTAGTATGGCAGAAGTAGAAAATATAATTCTGATTTTATACCTTGACTTCTTTGGCCTGGTTGGCTATGACTTCTATAGCTCCTTCGGGCTGTTCCACTGTGAAAGCGGGGATGCCAGTCTACCAGGAAAAAGGAGTTAGATTATAGATCATGTGCATGTGTCCTGTTACAATGTGCATATTAAATAGTTGCATTTTACAGTCTTATACATGTACCACTGGAAACAAATGTTACAATATGTTATTAATAATAGAAACTTTATTTGCAAAATCATACCTGAGGGCTAATTGCATGTACAGTGTCAAAGATAGTAAAGTACATTGTACTAGTAACAGAGAACATACAATGTATAACTACTGTTTGCTCAAATTATACTAGTACTACTACTAGTACTACTCCTACTGCCTTTTCTATTATGAGGTCTGACCTCTTTGAAGGCAGCCCCACATTCTGCATAATGAGTGTGTTTTGTGGTTAATTATTATGCATGAAAGCTTGAACAAAGTTTGGTGTGTTCAAAGATCAAGGTGAGGTGTCTTGATAAAGCACTGGGTAATCTAGCATGAACCATCTGGCCATTGTTTTTATATTTGTTTATGTATGTTCTTGAAGAGAGAGCTTTTATAAGCATTCTTGTACGATCTTGCCAGTGTGGACCTGCTGGACAGAGCTGCTTGGAAACATGGTCTGAAGACTACATGTAGCTGACTGCTGTCCACCAATGTTTTAGGGACCTCCCAGCAGTATAATCAAAGACTGGATACTACTATTCTTGCTTTTTTCCCAATCTTTTTCAAACAAATGTGAACTTGTGAAGGAATACATAATTTAAACAAACAGTACCTTGATGATGCCAGCCTTATGCCAAGCGATCTTGTCTATAGTGTCCCCCAGAAGAGGTAAATGGTCCAGACCCAGAGAAGTGATTCCACAAACAACTGGGGACCTGAAACAGACAGGGACAACGTTTGGAATGTGATCAATAGTTTCCAAACTAATCTTTTGGTAGCTGCAAGAAGTAACAAACTGACAAGATATTAAAAAATAGACAAGGCAGTATCCATTTGCCACCTGAACTTACTTACTTGAAAAAAGAAAGCCTGATAAAAATGTCTAATTTATTCTAAATCACATTAGAAATAAGTCAGGGACAGCGCCTAAACCTCTGCTTGGAGATCTAGAGTATGTGAACAATAACAATCTTTATTCTATAACAAAAAACCAAACTACAAATGTATTTATCATTTGTCTACAGTAGAAAGACTTATGCTTAAAAAATCAAGTACAATGTACATGTAAGTTGAAAAGTGCTGGTCGGAAGCATGCTAGTCAAAAGCATGATAATCTTACAAAAACTTGTATTAAATACATGTAATTATTGGAATAACAAAGCTCATTTTAGTCAATAGAAAGTTAGGAATGAATCCATTAAAACAGATCATACCTGACAATATTTGTACAGTCATAGGCCCCACCAATTCCAACTTCTATCACTGCAACATCAACCTGTTTGGGATTGGATAACCATGGTGAGATGTTTTTAAACACGTAAGCATTGTGATTGTGAAGCATTGAGTTGGTTCTTCGGGATAATTACAGACGATTATTCAATCAACTTTCTTTGTACCCTGAACTGCATGTTAAGTTTTACAGTTTTACAGAGTCAAAATAGTCTAAAACCCTGCCTTACTCATGTAGTGTATGTAGTGCAATGGTAGTCACTCTGTCTCTGAACAAAGACATTGGGTTCCATTGGGAGTTTGAATCCATGCAACTGAAAAGGGTCACAGTCCTAAGGACGGGTGTTAAGCCAAGTCCACTGCATTTGTCGCAGTAAGCTACTTAGTGAGATAAACTGGTTACATACAACTTTCATTTTCACCGCATCATTCATTAAAGATCTCAGAAATCTAGAAAATAGTCAAATTTAAAATAAAAAACTCACCTTTTCTTCTATAAAGACATGAAAGGCCATGATGGTGAGGAAGCGGAAATACGCAGGCATGGTGCCGCTGTGGGCATCCTGGGGAAAATTGAAGGAAATGAATATTACAAAAAAAAAGAGAATTTCACCATGCGTATACCAATGTTGTATTGCACTTACACCTAAGCCTTTAACCATCACTCTTACAATGTGATAATTCAGCACAATGACTGAGAAATGCACATTGAAAACATGTATACTAGTATTATGTACATTGATACTTGTATATTTGGCAAACACATCACAAGCCTGTGAAGATAGCGTGTTACACTGAATGGCAGTTATACTGGCTATACAGATACATGCTCTACTGCAGAAAACCTTACCTTAGTCTGTGCCAGTTTGTTGTAGCAGGACCAGAAGTACTTGCTGAAGTCATCGCGGGAGATGGGCTGCCCGTTTATCCTGATCCGCTCACGAACCTGGACTAGATGTGGCGAACTGGACAGTAGGGAAAACAGCAACAGCAACAAACAAAATCAACAACCTGGCAAGTTCATGTTAAGGAGGCTACCAATATCTACATTATAGCCCAGCAGCTGACACTCCAAGATGGGGGCTGATATCGCGTACATTATCATTAAGCTACCATTACTTGAGTCCCTTCACTTCTAGAGAACGTATATGTGACTGAAAATTTGAGGTGAGCAATGGTTTGATCATGCTGAACGAAAGTATTAACTTCATCATAAAACATGGCAAGTTCTTGGGAGGAGCTTAAGTTAACTGTTAAAAGCATAATTTAAGTGAACAAACTCAATTTAAAAGAGATGTCTTACCTATAAAACCCAGTTTTGTAGCCGTGAGCCCTTAGGATACTCTCACACATGGCACATACAGAGCCCTGAAGGGATGGAAAACTCACGGTAAGCAATATATAACACTCAATAAAGGTATACACATCTACACATGTACGTCTATTCATGATATTCAACAGGTACCTTGTCAATATTACTTTTAACATTTTAGACATGTATACTCTGCCAGCTCCAAATCCAATACAGACTGTTGCTCCTTCTATTCTATAATGCCCCAAATGCTGATTCATGTTTCCTGAAATAGCTTCCGAACACAGCTTCATTCTAGTCATGATCCCAGTCAGCCCCACGGACACCTGGGTCCCCACATCCCATCTCCAGCCATAATTCCTTTAGGCTAAAGCTGATACAGTCTGTAACATTCAATTACTGCTAAGGCCACACCAATATAATTTGTTGCTTCTCGGATTTTTTCAGAAAAAAATATGAAGCGACAGGGCGAAATAGAAATAAAAAAAATAAGGCCAAGGCACCCCATGACAGCTGGAAATCTTACAATATGAGCCATGAAGTCAACCTACCAGGATGGTTTAAAATTAAAACAACAGATTTTGAACTTTAAATGTACAGTTGCATCGTTACATTAAAAAACTAGGAAGACATGGACTTTCTTCAACCATAGGGGCCAAAATATGTCTTTCATTGAGCATCTTGCAGTTGCTTCAGAACCTAAAATCTTTTCTTTTTTTTTTGCAAATCAGAAAAAATTGACAGAGCAAATCTGAGAAGCAACAAATTAAATTGGCGTGGCCTAACCCTGTCCCTCTTATCTACATCATACAGTCATGCCAATGTTAGGTAACAACTGGAAATCTATGCCATTCATCTGGCATTGAGGTCTGAGGGTACTAGTAAATCCAACAATGCTGATTAGTATGGGTGCCCATGAACTTGTGACTTAACAAGGTTTTTAATTAGTTTGTGAGTGATTGGTTTCACTTATCTAGTGTCTGGGATAACAATCAGTAACTTTCCCAGAAGGATTTCTGCTACCTTTTAGTTTTAAAGTATATAAAGGCCATAGCAAATTATTTTTGGGTACTGACATTTTAACATCAAAATCAAGAAAGAGGTGAACAAAATGAAAAGGGGGCTGTAGGAAAATTTGAATCTGACTTTTCTGACTTCCATCTGATCTTTTTATCATTCATTACCAGCGCTCGAAATACTAGGTGCATGTGCACCTTAGTGCACCCAAAATTGGAGCTGTGCACCCAATTTTTTTGGCTGGGTGCACCAGTGCACACAAATATTTCATAGGTTTACATATGTATACAAGATATCTAATGTATACTACCGTAGTATACAGTATATTCTTGACATCTAACTGTCAGAAAAACAATTAAGTCTTTGTTGTATAAGATTACTTCATACGGCGCACCCAAAATATTACCTGTGCACCCAATTGTTTGGCTGGGAGTATCAGCACACCTTTTCCCAAAAATTACTTTTGAGTCCTGATTACTACATGCATGTCATGTTACACTTACAGACACTCCTCTCAGACTTGACCTTGATTTTCCAGTTCCACATAATCCATAAATCCTGGAACCAAGAAATTACGCTGAAGTCGCCCTGAGGCTTGTGATCAGAGGAGTGGAAAATTACCGACGGCCAACTTGCCACCATTTTGCAGTGAGCTGTTGCTACAAACTCATCACATTCTGAGCATGTATTGACAATTTCCCTCGCTACTGTACTACTGTACTGTTTCAAATGTGAATTCCTCATTTCTCCTTCTACTGCAAATAGTTATAGCCTCTACCAGGCTTCCAGAGGAGGCTGGAAAGAGAAAAAATTGGCCAAATAGAGAGATAGCTTGCCAGGCGAGTTGGTCTGCTAGAAACTAGTTTGCTGCACAAAATGTACTCTCTTGCGGACCAACTCCCTCGGCATGTTATCTCTCTATTTGGCCAATTTCTACTCTTTCTAGCCGCCTCCCGAAGCCTGGTAGGGGCTAGCAAAGTTAAACGAGTCCCTACAAATTTAATGATTTACAGTAAATGATTCACTCTAGCATAAAGGACGAACGTTCGCACGGTCGCAAAGCGAAACCAGTCTCATGTGTAATTTGACCTTACCTTTCCCTTGGTGCCGCTTACATGGATCACCGACAAACCGTCAATTTCGTCCAACTGAAAAAGTAATTAAGTTAAATCAATTAATACCTGTGACATACAAAGTTAAAAACTATAACGAGATTGTTACTTAGGGGTGAAGCTTGGTACAGGCTCAAGCAGACAGACCAAATTATAATACCTCCATACACATAGTGGCAATAATACAACTGGTCTGGCTTGTACTGGGGAATAGCGATAGAAAATGGGGTATATGATAGAAAGGTCACAATCTTCCCCATCGACCTCTGCTTAGAGAACTCTTAGCCTCTACCAGGCTTCGGGAGGTGGCTGGAAAGGGTAGAAATTGGCCAGAGAGATAACATGCCAGAGGATTTGGTCTGCTAGAGAGTACATTTTGCCGCACCCAAAAATGTACTCTCTAGTTGACCAACTCCCTCGGCATCCCTTGGCCAAATCTCTCTATTTGGTCAATTTCTACTTTCAAGTCGCCTCCCAAAGCTACTCTCCAAGCAGAGCTTGTGGGGGAATGATTGTTAGCTTTTTATATATGTTTTTTTTTTTTTTTTTGTCGCTACCCCCACCAACCCCGTCAGTGGTCGGCAACCTTCTCTGGCTAATGGATACTGCCTGGCCAATTTGATACTGTCTTTTTGCCACCGAAAGTGATCTGCTTGGAGATTATCCCTAAGCATGAGAGGCTACAGAATACTGGCTTGGTGGAAGTGTTCTTACTGTGATCCCCACTCTGTCCATGAAAGCCTGCATCTGAGGGAGGCTGTTGTGAGCGTTCCTCCCCCGCTCCCTGCGAATCCTCTCCAGCGTCTGTGCATTGGTCTGGAGAGTGTTCAACGCCTGAACAGCCTCCTGAGGGAAACAAGGAAAGGACATCAAACATAGTGTATACCTACGATTCAACAACTGGTGCAATGAATGAGGGCTTGCAAGGGGGGGGGTCCCGACAACGCTCTACGCTGAATTCGGAAACCCCTTGATTACGCTTTACGATAAATTCCAAGTGGCTACAATGTATTACGTAGACTTAAAACGCCGAATACGCTCTACGCAAAAGTATTAGAGCGGTCCGTCTACGCTCTACGTAGAATTAAAACGGCCGATTACGCTCTACGGAAAAGGGCTTGCGGGCCCCCATGAATGGCCAAGTGGGTAGAGTCTTTGCTTTGCCGCAGTTCGATCACCAGTCATACCAAAGACTTTAAAAATGGTACATGCTGCTTTTCTCTGCTTAGCACTCAGCATTTCAGAAAGAGTATGAGAGTTAAACACACACCACTACCAGTGGACTAGCTGTTGTGATTGTACTATTGTGTGGCCCAAGAGCTACTGAACTGGAGATGGGCGTCGCCCTATGCACCATGTGGTGCGAGAAGGACTTTCACTATTTAACTAACAATTCGACTAAGTTTGAGGGGGCTTAATCACACGATGGGGGTGAAAGGGGGTAGCCTGGGGTACTACCATTCTCTGCAATTTCTGCTTCAACAAGCTCAAGGAAGACCCGCCTGTCAGAAAGTGTTACAAATAGCAATCCTGCCTTCCTACATCTGCTTTCCTAGGAAATGAATGAATGAATGAACTTTATTGCTCAACAGTTGTACATGGTACAATGTATGGCATCAATAATGTATGGCATCCCGAAGACGGTATCAAGGTATCAAGGTAATAACAAGGTGATCAATACAGTCTATTCTAATAGGCTACTAGTATTACTACAGGAATATGAACGTAAATGGCGTATGACATGATGTGAGTTAGGCGTTGCTATCTATAGGAAATGCAGCCTAACACATCAACCAGCAAGCTAGGTAATAATTTGTAAGACCCATAAAACTTTGATTGCAGATCAATTACCGAGGGTCGCAATCAAAACAAAATAAAACCCAAATATGCAAGGTGCTTATCGATCCCTCTATAACTTAAGCTCCTTGCCAACATTCTTATGTTATTCACAAACTTATCGTCCTAAATTCTTTGCAGTTTCTGTTCTGCCCTTTTCACTATCAACATCGCCCAAAACTCTAGTGGTAAAACTGTAAAACCCAAACAGTACAGACGATCTATCTCAGCTGTTCCAACCAAATCGATAGTAATGAATGCACAGTAACTTCTTCGCACAGATGTGTTAAATACCTAAACACAACACTGAAAATTGATCCGGTACCATAACGGACTAGTCCATCTCGACTCACCAAGAGAGATATCAGACCTACAAAAGTCTTCTTTAGTTCTACATTCTCGTCTTTGGCTGTTAAAATGAAGCTCACGCCCACACGTACCTCGTAACCCGACCCCGTATCCATGTGGTGATGTCTAGCGGGCGGTATATGCGGTATCGCCGCCGCAACAGGCCCGAAGTTTCCCCGTCCCCGCCCCGATAACACGGTACGTATACAGCCTCGGAGACCCAGCGGCCACGCATGCAGCATTGCCCGCCCTCCTGGCCACCGAACGCCGCGATCCGAGGCTTTCTCGGCGCCCGAGAAGACTGATTTTAGCCTTAAAGAGTTGGAGAAGCAAAAGAAGTGCTCTCGCCGCCAGGTTTCGCGGGAAAGTGGCCGAACCAAGACGCAACCTGCACATTTCATTGCCATTTCTCAGCGATCTCGCGCGCTCTCGCGAGATTATGAAATTAGTCGAGTCCACTCTTTCCGAAGGTGAAAATGACTAAACAAATTGTTTTAATGTCCTAGTTTATAGCCATAAAATTATGTTGTTAAACTGTTTTCCTACGTATTTATAAAATTTTTAGATGGAAAAATACCTGATAATGCCAATTTTAATCCATTTGATGGTAAAATAATGGATGTTTTTAATGTAGATTTCACTTGGTGAAAAATGGACCTGTCCATATTCGGGGACGAAATGCGCATGTTTGCCTGGGAAATTGACATCCACACACCAAAATGGCGACGTCCCTGGGGTTGGACGCGATCAGCCGCAAGCTGAACAAGCTCGAAGCCAGGCTCCGAGAGGAGAACGAATCCAGAAAAAAGGACGACACCCTCTTGTTAGATCTCAACACAGGCAACTCCAGCCCTAGGCAGCAAAAACCCGCCAAGCCAGGTAAGCGAACAACCGATGATGATTCACCTCCAAGTTTTTTTCTCTCTCACCCTCCTCAAAATATCCTCTGATTCTGATCAAAACAAGTCGACTCTTTGTCATTGTAGTACTCTACATATCGACAAAGCCAAAGATACTCTCCCTTTCCTCTTCTTATTCCTTTATAGATCCTGAATTTTTACTAAAGGAAAATACAGAGTCGTGAAATTTAGAAGAAGAAGAAAGCAAAATTAGATGACACACACACACACACACTCAAGATTTGCGGGGGCGGCGGTGGGCATGTTTGGTTCCCGAAGTGACAGAAATTTCCTGGTCATTTCCTGTTTGTCCAACACCTGAGACATAACATTCCCGATCCCTGCCATGTTTCGCGATATTCTCTTACGATAGAAAAAGAGAATTTGTAAACGTCTGCACTGATTTTTTGTGCGATAACACATTAACAGTTGTGATGATAGGAAACTCCATTTCTCTTTGTGCCCTTAGTACAGTCCTTGGGGACAAATCAGAGGATCACATTAAAAAAAGAAATCATTTGCAAACGCACCTGCCCCTAGCCTCTAACACATGTGGTACTTTCGTAGCATTGTTATGTCTACATGCCACTTTTTTTCTTCTTATTCTTTTGTCCTCAAATATTGAAGTGAATTGTCTTTTTCAAGGATTGTTTTTTACACCACAAATATATGGCTCCTTTCTTTATCTTTTTGACACACCAGTACTGTAAGTGAAAGAATTAACAGTATAATAGTCACTGTGATGTCGCACTTATAATATAAAGTAAAATATAAACAGGGAAGGAAGTCCTTGAATGTGTATTCAATATTTTTGGAATCTTGCCAAATTTCCATACACAAAGGAAAGCAGAAGCATTTTAGAGAGTGAAATATCACCACTTCCTTCTTCGTTACTGTCCAGCCCTACAGTGTAGGATTATTCGTTATTGGTAGCCGTTGCACTTTGTTAGTTACTATTGTGACCCGGTACATAAAAAACAATGGTAAAAAAAAAAGATAACCGAGAAGGGAACATAAAACAACTGATTTTATGTGTGCTAAAGACGGGACAAGTGCATTAGTGCGTTACTTCCTCTTTCCACGCTTACAGGAAGTCTACTGATTCCGAGAGGAACAGCGAACGGCACAGCACGACCATCGCCGAGCACGGGGAGTCCCCGCAGAAGTAGAAGAGACCATCTAGAATTTCCTGGCATTCAAGTAACACCTGCGCCAAAAAGTATAGACAGGTGCGGACAACGTTGTGTGTTTGTTTTCGTCAGTGAAGGTTAGACATCCAGGTAATTAGATACAAAAAAAAAGAAGAAAGAAACAGTTACTCATGCAAGCTGATATGATTTTGGAAATGGTCAGATGTTTAAGGTAACATCCATTTATACGTCGATGAAGGTTAGACATCCAGGTACTAGGATACACCCAAAAGCAGTTACTCAAACAACTGGATATGATACATTCCAAAATCATATCCAGTTGCTTGAGTAACTGCTTTTGGGCGCATCCAAGTTATCTTTCGACAGTGACACTGGAGAGTTGTCAGAAAAGCAGGTTTATAACTGATATAAGTGTATAAGGAAATGTGTTTGTTTTCCTTGCATTGTTTGGTTTGATTGTTCTTTTTATAGGTTACTATTGAGAACTAATGTGACAGAAACATCATCAAACAGATCATCAAGTACCTTAGGCTTTTCCAGAATCACGCAAATTTGTGATAAAACAGATATTGTCAGTGTGAAAATACATAAATAGTATATTATATTAAATACTACCAGGCACTGGAATAAACCTTGTGGAACTGAAACTGAAAACCACTGATCCGAGTTCAATTTTGAATGTACATAGTTTGGAAGTAAGTACAATGTATATGCAAGAATGAAAATCAACAATGAAAGGTTAAGTAAAAAAAAACATTCTTCACAAAAGATTTCAATAGAGTGAGTTTTGTGTAAAGTGAAACTGACATGAACATGTATGTTTGAATTTTCTTCCAGTATCGAAGTGGAGAAGAAGTTGCAAGAAATCATGACGTTAACAGGAATTCTTACCCTGAATCAAAAGGTACGATGCACGTTCCTTTCTTTATTCAATAATACTAGATACATTTTTGTACATTTGTACAGTTTGAATTTCTTTACTTCTGCATTCGTTGCTTTTCACTGCGGTGTGATGCATTGCATGAGAAATACCCTCAAATCGTACATATACAGTGCGCTATATAGATGGTAATTTGTATGTGCAACCCATATATATATATATTGGCTCAGAAGGACAAGGATAAATGAGAAGGCACATCTGTGGTTGTACAATGGACTCATCTGAGTGTCCTCGTGTCCCAATTCGACCGTAATTAGTTGTTGTGTATCGGCAGTCATCTCACTAGTATCAGTCAATGAGATAGAGATGAGCAAATATGGGATGACACTTCTAGTCAGGGACATTTTCCAAGGTTGATTACGGTCTGCATGTTTGATTATCTATGGGGGGACATATGCTGGATAAAGCTAGTCTCCACCAGACTCTTTTGCAGGCAAATTGGACCCTCTATGGCCGGCCAACTCCCCTGGCCAGCTACAATCTGTTTAGGCCAATTTCTACTATTAATTCAGCCTGCAAAAGAGTTTGGTGGAAACTAGGAAAAAGTGGTGTTAACCAGCTAGTGGACACTGGATGGATATGTCACTGCTTTGATTCCTGGCTGCACATTGTGTCCTTGGGAAAGGCATGTTCACCCAGGTGTTACTGCAGATGGGTACCTGACTACAGTTGGGAGGAATTCTATTCTATACAATACTGGGCAAAGCCCTATCTAGGGCATCCCACCCATGGTGCACGGCTAGTGTGGCTGGTGAAAATAAAAATATGCATGACAACAAAACAGAACAGAACATAATGTGCTCTGTTTTCCAATCCTCGTTCAAAATCTTTTTACAGTGACAGTTTCTCTCCGTACGGCCAAGCTTTGGAATTTTCTCCCTGACAAGTGTTTCCCACCAACCTACAATCTACAGGCTTTCATGGTAGATTAACATAAAGTAAGATAGATGTTAATACTGGGCTTCAGTTTTTTTAACTTGATATAAAATGATTTTTGCAGAGATATGCAGCTGAGGTGGCTGATCTAGAGGAGCACGGGGAGATTGGCAGCGGTACATGTGGGCAGGTCTGGCAGATGAGCTTCAAGAAGACTGGAGACAAGATGGCAGTCAAGGTAATAGTCTATGCCATCATTTTGTGTACCTAAACCCACAAGCCCAGACCTAAACCTACTGGGCATATACAAAATACAGAAGGGACTTCTCAGTGAACATTTCCCAATGGAAAATGGGCAAAATGTTGTAGTGAGCACAGTACTACTAGGGTTTAGAAGGAAGATATGTTGTTTGGAAGGCATGACTCAGTGAAACTGTGGCCTCATAATTTTTGGACGTAGATATTGATGATGCCCAATGGCAATATTTCCTTCATTTTGCAACGCAAACTTTTGAGTATTGAAGATTTTAGATGGTTTAGAACAAAAAGGGGAATGTCACCGAATGTGACATAATTCATTTGCATGCTATGTGTTAAATGTGTTGTACTCTAACAGAACTTAGCCCTTTCTTGTGGAATAATATGTCTCTTTTTACCTTCTTACCTGCTTTTTTTTCTCAATCTGCAGCAAATGCGTAGATCGGGAAACAAGGAAGAAAACAAGAGAATTTTGATGGACTTGGACGTTATCCTGAAGAGCCATGACTGCCCCTTTATTGTACAGTGTTTCGGTGCGTTCATCACCAAGGTAAATGTATGTTTGTATCCAGTTTTTTGTTTCTTGTTTATGGTGATTATTTTCAGGGTGGCAGGTTTTATGCTTCCATAGTTATTTCCAAATGCTACATTTTTGTAACTAATGCTACATGCTAGGCATGGGGGAAACACTGAAAGGAAGTTAGGATAAAGGTTCTAGAAAAGGTTATCTTTGTCTTCAAATAAGTCTCATGTAATCTAATCTAACTAAGAGTCCTTTTTAGATATATACACAGTGTCACCCTATAATAAATGTAATGGTACGACCACTTGTTAGCTGGCCAATAGAGTGTAAGCACTCATATTCAATGCAAAATGGGGCTGCTGATTGGCTAACTTATTTCTGTATCTGTATAACTGGAATAACCGCCTTTTCGGCGTAACACACCAGCTTCGCAGGCACGCGGTGCGGCGGCAGCTGGCTATATTACACCCATCGACTTGTTACACCTAATCCTTGAATTTCTAACTCTAGACAATGTTTAAAGCTATCTAATGACAATGCCCCTACTGTACTTGGTGACAGTGAGTTCCAGTCTGCAATAGTTCTAGGAAAGAATGAATTCTTGAACGCCTCAATCCTCGGTTGATAACTCTGGTACTTGAAGGCATGACTATTTCTTTTTTATATATTTGTAATCTCTCTCCACAGATGGATGTATGGATATGTATGGAGCTAATGAGCACCTGTATGGAGAAGTTGATGAAGAGATTACAGTCGCCCATTCCTGAGCAGATCCTGGGGAAGATGGGCGTGTCTGTCGTCAAGGCGCTGCACTACCTGAAGGAGAAACATGGAGTCATACACAGAGGTGAGGTCTAGAAAAGATATGCTGTGTTTCCTGTTTCCCAACCGACCCTAGAATTAATTAGAAAACCTGCCGACCCTTGAGTTTTTTGGGGGGTTGACCTCTGCAAGGGACATTTGTTTGGAGCTGATCAACCTTTTCTAGCTGCACTACCTGAAGGAGAAACATGGAGTCATACACAGAGGTAAGGAACATCTTGAAGATGGGAGGAGTTTGTGTTAGTAGTAGTTGAGGAGGAGGGAATGGTATAACCATGTGGAATCTTTGACTTCTTATTTCTAAGAATTCCTTCTCGAGATGTCATAGTCACATGGAATGCCACCCAGTAATGTATAGCTACAAAGTCCTGGATGCCAGAAAGAACTATTTAGTAAAGGGAAGAGTGGCCCCAACTGGAAAAAATGTAGACAGTAGTCTATTGCCCTAGTTCTAACTTTTCCCGGGACTGGGGGAATCCCCCTGGGCCCCCTTCAAAAGCACATACAATAAAAAAAAGGACATCCAACACAAAAATCCTAGCTAGTAAAAGCCTGCTCTAGTCTATTACCGTAGTTGTAACATCCGTCATGATTTTTCCTCAGACGTGAAGCCCTCCAACATCCTGATGGATGAGACGGGCATCTTCAAACTGTGCGACTTCGGCATCAGTGGGCGGCTCGTCGACTCCAAGGCCAAGACAAGAAGCGCAGGATGTGCTGCTTACATGGCGGTAAGTCGATATCATCTACAGTCGAGAAAGGCAGCATCTGATTTATTCGCTTCCATCATGCTCATCAGGGTTGGACAAGTCCCATTGCCCACTTGCCCAGGGCAAGTAAAAGTACTGTTTGGGCAAGTGAATATCCCCCTGAATATCCCCCTAAATTTTTTGGATGCAAATTATGCATTATTTTGACCAAGTTTGAAACAATTATTTTATAAATTAAGCATCCAACATTATAAACTCTATTATAATAAAATAATTTCATTTCTGCTAGTAAAACGCAAAGAAATGCTTCATATTTTGGCAAGTGGATTTTTGAAAACTTGTCCAACCCTGCTCATACATCAACTCCTTTCCATGTCAATCAAGACAAGATCTGAACTGTTTTTGATGGTAGTCCAGACCAAACAAAAAATAGTAGCCCCTAAAAAGGGGCGCACAAAACGATAGATAAACCACTCTACCTTGGAAGAGGTGGACAGTATGATCACTGTGCCAGGTAAGTATCTGAACTGGTTGACAGTTTCGCTGGAGACTACACTCTCCAGTAGAGAGTTCCAGTTGTTCACTGTCCTTGGACTAAACTTCTGTGATCTTGTGCTTGATTTTGCCAGTGGCACTTAAAGCTTAAGGCTATACTCTCTTGTTGATGCGTTCCCTGCCTTTTGAAAGAAAATGTCTGACTGTATATAGTATGTAAGTTGAATATCAGTAACAGTAATCACTAGAGCTGTATACAAACTGTTAAGATTGTCAGGACCTGGTATGACTTCACTGCATTGACCACTGCATCTACATATGTTCTACATTCTCATTGTGTACTCTTAGACTAGTAGTTTGTATTGTTGATTAGACTGTCAGAGTTGTAGTATTCACACTGTGTCTCTTACCTATACATTTACACAGCCTGAGCGGATAGACCCGCCCGACCCCATGAGGCCGGACTATGATATACGTGCAGATGTCTGGAGCCTGGGCATTTCACTGGTGAGTGGAACATTAATGTTAGCAGGTTGGACATGACGTCAGCTAGCTTTAAACAATGTGTAGAGTTAGATGTGCAAAGGCTAGATGCTGCCGTGCTGTGTGCCTGTGAAGCTGGTGTGTTATACTGGCTATACGGATACAGATACAGAAGTGCGTTGGGTTCTTTTACAGATGTGTTACAGTAACTGTTTCAATCTGTTATGCCAAAAACAGTTACTCAAGCAACTGGATAATGATTTTGGAAAGGTAGTGGATGCTATCTGAAACATCTGACCGTTTCCAAAATCATATCCAGTTGCTCGGGTAACTGTTTTTGACATATATCATTACCTGAATAGCTCAATTGGTAGAGTGCTCTGTAACCGGGAGGTCGTGAGTTCAAACCCCGGCCGGGTCATACCAGAGACTTTAAGGTCTCGGACCGGAGTTTTTTTCACGATTTTGGATCCGGCGGACACCCTCAGACCGAAGGGCTATAACTCCGCCAAAAAAAGTACGCCGGGAAATCTCATTACATCAGTCAACGGAGGTTTCCAGCCGGCTTCCGATACAATTTTGGTTATTGTCCGTCGACTCTATAATTTGGGTAGAAACTGTAGTTAAACGTAAATTTTGGATACGAAAAATGTAGTTTTTTTGCAGTTTTTTCAACGGACCTGCTTGGAAAAAACGAATTTTCCCAGGCTAACGGCTTATATGCTGAAATAGCTTACTACTTCCTTTTTCTGAAAAACAGAAAAAAAATATAGGTTGTTGCGATAAGTTTTTCGCAAAATCCGGTGACGCGAACCCCTAGAAATTCCACATAGAACGCAGCTATTTGGGTCATCAGGCGACAAACCGCATCACCCTTGCTCGCGGACTAATACCAAAAACGCTTCGCTGGCCGTCCAACTTCACCGCGCCGAAAAACACTACAATCCCAAGGCTTTTTGATCAATTCAAAACCTAGTTGAAAATCTACAGCGATCGCCGAGCTATGGGGAGCCAAACCTAGCGTGACAACCTCGCAGATCCGGCGATTTACTGCGCACTATTTGGAACCCTGGTCAGAATTAAACTCCGACCCGGAACCTTAAAAATGGTACACACTTCTTTCTCTGCTTAGCACTCAGCTTATATGAGAAAGAGTGTGGGAAGGTCAAACACACAGCACTACCAGCGGACCAGCCCCCTGCTGTAGTGCCTTGCACAACTGTGTGTCGCCCAAGGGCTACGGAAATGGACATGGGCACCAAAACCCTATGCTCTGCATAGAGCACTGGAGACCTTTTTTTACCTGGATGTCTAACTTTCACTGAATCAGATGTTTTGACTCTGTATTTTTTCAGGTTGAGCTGGCTATGGGGTCCTTCCCGTACAAGAACTGTAAAACAGATTTTGAGGTCCTGACGAGGGTTTTACAGGACGATCCCCCCCTCCTCCCTCCTAAACAGGGCTTCTCACTCGACTTCTGTTCATTTGTCCAAAACTGGTGAGTTGGAAAGAAATATGTATGTTCATAGGGTGCAAAAATATGTTTATTTTGTTGAGAAATAGTGTGAGAAATCTTGAGGGCTTCTCACTCGACTTCTGTTAACGTTCATTTGTCCAAAACTGGTGAGTTGGAAAGAACAGTGTCTTTATCAGGGGTCGAAATATGTTCATATTGTGCAAAAATATGTTTATTTCATTGAAAAATACATGTAATGTTATCAACTGAAGATTGATTTTTTTTTCAAATGCTAGTAGTAATCAGGTCTTATTTCTTTCCACAGCTTGACCAAAGACTTCAAGAAGAGACCAAAATACAGGCAACTCTTGGTTAGTAAAACTCAGCTTATTTTTCTTGTTAAGTACAATATTAACTTAGTGACCATCAATGTGTAATTTGTTGACAGTTCACAGAGAAGGTTTTGTTGGAAAAGAAAAATGGGCAGGCTGAAAATGACTGACACTGGCTTATAGTTCTGATTATGTTTACCTTTGTAGAAGGTCTTTGCTCTGTTTCTTCTTCTTCTGTTCCAAACACACAAGGTCAATGACCTGGACCAGACGGCTGTCACCATGGTAACTGGTGCTGTATCAGACACCCCATGGTGTTGGGTTACATTGTGTTGCAAGTTGCAAGATAGAGTTGGATTTAGTGTCACCTAATATGTGAATTTGAGTGAGAATAAACAGAGCAGTAGTTTCTTAGGCTAGACCATGTGAAGGTAAACATTATGCATTTGCTTTGGAAATGTTACTATACTAGTTGTTTATCTGTTTTCAGGAGCACGGTTTTATCAAAAGGTACGAGACCAAGGAGGTCGACGTGGCGGGCTGGTTCACAGACGTCATGGCAACCACCACAAGTCCGAGGCCCGACGCGAAAACCCCCACCAACTGACACACGGCTTCACCGATTGGCTCTGACCAACACCAATCAGCGCTCGTCATTGCAGCTGGGTCCCCGTTTTTCCCCTCAGTGGACTAGTCCATGATTCAGCCCTATGTTGCTGTGGACCACTGAACTGGAAAGAGAGGGTAGGTCAGGATGACTTAAATGTGAATTTTCCCACATTAACACCTGCAATGTGTGGTGTGTACTTGCGAAATGGGCATGGATAATTGTCTTTCCAAGGGCTCATATCGTCCTTTCCTCTTTTTAATGGCAAGGCAAGAAGTCCTGATTGGAAAGACAGAAGAAGAAGAAATATTTTAAGACAGTCGATGCCTCATTAAGTTCAAAAATGACTCGTCTTACCAACAATTCCAAAGCATTTGAATAAAGTGCTGAGAAGGCACTCTGCAAGACTGAAAATGACATAACATTTTTAATGTGTCTTATACTGAAAATACTTTCCAAGAAACCACATCCAAATGTGAAAATGATCACAGAAGAATGTAAACAGCAATGACTTTTTAACTGGCTGTCTTCATGCCTTTATATTAAGATCAGTTCATTGCAATATCAATTTGACGTATTTTCTTTATAAATCGACAATTCCACAGAGAATTTTATTCAAAGACTAAAACCTGAAAAAGGGTATTTTTTTTTACTCTTGAGGAATTGTGATGTTTTATTACATCAAAATGTACATGTTGCCTTTATTCAAAAAGGATGGTACGTGTACATGACCATCAAAACTATTTTATCAAAGCAGCTTTTCTTGTTCAAGTTATCCATCTGGCTTGTCAATTAAATTTCTGCAGCTGAATTTTTTTGCTGGGCCAAATCTAGTCGGTTGCAAAGATCAAAAACATCAAATAAGTTGCAGCTAAGAGTAAATGTGGCTGCTATGAGCAAGGAGACAAGAAAAAAGACTTGTCAAACTTGTTCCAACTTGAAGTTAGGAACAGTTTTGTTTATAGTCACACAGAAAAGGATTTTTTTTTTTCTATGACAATTAAGTTTACCACAAATTTATTTGATAAAATACCTATTAGCTAGTACAGGATTACTCAATTGAGAATAATTTTTTTCGGAATAAACAGAAGTCTTGCCTTTTCTTTCCCAAACTAGCCATATTTTGATCAGGTCAGGAGAAACTGTGAAAATGAAGCGTGGTAGTCGCTGAAGGTTTGAGTTAAAGATTTGTCATAAGAAAGTCCTAAAAGGCAGTTGTGAGTGGTTATCGCAAATACAAAAGGCATGAGAGAGAAAGTTGAAGAAAGGATTGTAGAAGGGAAATTGTATCACATGGGTAGACTATGTTAAAGGTGTTGTTTTCCCCCAAAATGGGTTACACAGTCTACTTGTGACCACTGAAGGTGTTTGAGTGGCAAGCTAAGGTTTTAATAAGAAGGATGTGGAGTGTATGTCATGGTTTTGGAAATTCTTGTGAAAGAAACAGAGCTGTTGTTGTACAGAGTTTTGGAGAATGTGTGCTAGAGAGAAGTGGATTTAGGAAAGATTCACAAAACTTATGTTAGCTACGGTATAATGTAACGTTAGTGTTTTACTTTTAATTATTTTGTTGTTGGAAGTGGGCATGTAATACACTCCTACCTGGCACTTTTTCGACCACAGAAAAAGCAATGAACTATTTTGTACTAAATCCCAACCGGGGCCAAAAGTGTTGATGAAAAGTATCTGTATTATATTTCGGCAATGATTTAGTTCTTGTTTATAAACTCTTGATAGTTTAAAAAATATGTATTATGAAACAAAATATTTTGAATTAAATCCAGCTGGCTTGGGTTTTAATGGTTTTTAATTTATGTCAGAGTTAGTTGCTTTTACAATTGGTATTTGCAAGGGCTTTTGAGATGATTTTTACCCTTTTTTTGCATGCTATATTGAATTGGTAGATCCTTATCAAATATTATCCTCTATTCAGCATTGCACAATCTTTAACAAAACTTTCAAGGTGTAGCCCTTTATTTATGTTATATCTTTGGTCAGATGCCTTCTGGTTTACCTAAAAATAACACAACACATTGAAAAATTTTACAGTCTTGACTTGAAAGTTGAGTGAATACAACAAACAGTGTAAGAAAAACAATTTGATTAAAACTGAAAATTTAGACCAGTTTTTCCCCACTCTTACAAGATAGTTAATAAGCCGTTTCACTGTTTGGCTTGTGCATGCGCAGTGTGATGCGTTGTGGGTAATACTAGTGCTTCAAACGTTGAAGGCCCCAGAGACACAAGCAAAATGCATTTGGACTACTCTCCAAGCAGAGGTTTGGGTTTTGGCTTATATTTGATGTGGTTTTAGGCTTTTTTATCAGTTTTTTTTTCACTGGTATCGTATTTTTATGAGTGCGAAAAAGAAAACCCAATAAACAAGCCTAAAAATACCAAAAATAAGCCAAAACCCAAACCTCTACATGCACAGTCTAAACAGTGAACTGACTTATTACTTCAGACGTTAAGCATTATGTTTTAGATTGCTGATTACTTCTGAACTCTGTGTGAAGAGGAGGCAATACAAATACAGTACCTGTACATGTGTAGTTCCACTTGACGGTTGTCCTTGCTATGTACATGTCTGTTAGACCATTTGTTATAAATGAACAATTGTACATGTATTTAGTACGAGAAAAAAACACATCAATTTTTTGTACCGATAACACCCAACAGCCTTTAGTATAACTTGTTACTTCCCTTTATAGACCGTCCGACTGGACTGCCAATCATTGAAAGGACAAGTTTTTATCATCACAGTTTTTTGTAACAAAAGTTTTGTGGCAGTATTGCGAAGAAGAGCCACCTAGCAACAGAACTGTGAAGTGCACGTAGCTGAAGATGCTGTTAAGTTTAACACCCTGTTCAAAGTGACTGTCTACATGTAGCTTTTCAGTAATGAATGAAGGAATAGACCACATTGACTTGAATTCATGGTTGACACCTGCACATTCATTGGTTTGAAAAAATTATGCCCCTTGCCCGATGCTGTCTATTATAACATGATTTTGAACTAGTAACTCACAAGCTTACTAATGTCCCCGAACAAAAAATACATAAAGAAACATAGGAAAGATAACTCAAAAATGAAGAAAAATTTCAAAAATTCTGAAACAGAAAAACCCAACTCATGAAAAAACAAAAATAAAGAATTTATTCTTTGTTATTCCATGCTTTTTGTACATCTTTCTCTTTATTGTCCTTTATTTTCACATGCCTTTCATTGTTCATAGGATGTCATCCATCAAATAAACTCAGTGTGGCCTAATCCATGTTCAGACATACACAGTACATGTTTAAGTTGTTTGACTGAATGATACTGTTAGTAATTCGTGCCGTAATTTTGTTAATTGTGCTGTATCACACATTATGTTAATATCACGTCCAGGTGGTACATTTGTGTATGATAGTACGTCAGCAAGTTTACCGTCTTTTAAGTAGGAAGTTTGTATCCAATACTGCAAGTCGTGTACTTGAATGTATTTTTCTCAAAATCTGTGTTATTTTACCTGTGGAATTTTTATGAAACTATAGCTTGATGAGGTATAAGATTATGGCACAGGAAAGAGAGCTTCATGTTCAGTTACTGGACACAGTAATTGTATTCCAGTTAAACAATTGTAACCTCTCTATATTAGAGGTATAGACATTTTGGCGAATCCCATTGCATGCTGGGAGATGCAGGGCACTATGGGTAGCGACCTAGACCACATACAAGTTGCCTCCTGTGCTACCCATAATGCCTCGCGTCTCCCATCATGCAATGGTACATCGGTGAAACAGTCCATGGAAAACAGAAAAGATACTCTATGCAAGTACCTTTCTAAGTATGTGTAAAGTCTAGTGTAGATAGTTCTGTTGTTTGTACATCCTGAGTGTAGACTTTTCTGAACATTTCTGCCATCATCTGTTTAAATTGTGGTCATTGTTTGGTCAATAAAGGGAACTAACGAATGCAGTGTTTCCTGCTAATGCATTTTTGTTTTAGGTTTCTTGTAGTAATCTCCAAGCAGATCTTTTGGTGGGGGTAAGACAGTATCGAATTGGCCAGTCTGTAACCTTTGATTGGGGAAATGGTTACAGACTGGCCAATTTGATACTGTCTTACCTCCACCAAAAGATCTGATTGGAGATTATCTTGTAGGTCTTATTACAACTATGTGGTGCACATTTTCAAAAATACTTTTTTGAAGTTCAACAAAGTAGGCGTACAAGTGTACCACAGTTTCTGGATGTATACCAAAATGATGTACATTGTAGTTGTACATATAGTAATCTCTGATTGTTTTAAATTTAATTTAGAGTCGCAAAGACCGATTTTTCATATTGGAGAAAAAGTTACAACTTCTGGTACCGACGTTTTGTGCACTTTCACCTCTGACCTTTCGTCCCACGATCTTTTCCTAGCTTGATTCCCCTGATCATGTAACCAATGTTACGCCTATCTGACTAAATCCATAATCTCATAAATTCTCTTCCTAGTACGGGATTTAGATAGAAGCGATATACGATACAACCACCGTTGTTCTCATTTTGAAAAGGTGAGGCTGTGTTTACCGGTATAATACACAGGTGGTTATGTGTCATAGCATGACCTCCGCACTGTGCACTCACGGAGAATGTCAATATTTGTATTCCCTCTTTCTTGCTCGCTCGCACCGGGTATTTTGTAAGGTAAGGGTATTTACTCTTAAAGGTTGTTCTGTACAGTCCTGGACTTGATGCGTTTCGAGAAAGAGCAGCGAAAACACCTCGTATAGTCAACTGTACGACCTGTGTCCGAAGAACAAATAGGGTAGGGTTGGGTCCTTTCACACCGTGCCTTTCATGTGTTGTGTTGATGTTTGTTGGGAAAATTTACGGTGGTGCTTGACAGTGTTTGTTGTCCAGTATTCTCCCCAGGTGAACCATAGCGTAGGCGGCAACGTTATGTCTCTGCTAGTGCGCGGGTGTGTGACAACACTCATGGAGATCGGAGCTTTTAGTTCAAGTACATGATCATCTGATGAACAACACTTGAAGCTGTCACTGTCAGAGCCATGTGGCTGGCGCTGGTGTGTGCCAGTCTCTGTGCCTGTGTCCAGGGCAGTCTAGCAGCCTCGGCGTTGTCACCCAGGGGCAAGGAAGCCATCGTGTCTTCCCACAACAACTACAGACGAAATGTGTCCCCTTCAGCTGCGAATATGCAACAAATGGTGAGTTTCCTTCTTCTTAGTTGTGCACAACACAACAGCATACCACCGGTGTCGTCATGTGCAATGTTTACCTTCCAAATCACCGCTCGAGAGGCTGTGGTTTTCCTATGTACGTCAAACGGCGGGTCTTTTGCGCTTGGGGAAGGTTGTGATTCCATATGCTGGCTTTTGCTATTTGCTGTAAGCCTTGCAATATCATGTGAGTCACGCTCTTATGGTTTTGAATAACACTTTACTTGCGTAGCTCTTAAGCCCAGAACATGATACGCCTTATTTGAGATCACGAAAGGCGTCTACTGCATTACAACGGATAACGTTGCCCTAGCCTCCATAGCATGCCAAAAACTAGGGGTTTGGGGGGGTCTTCATGGTCTTTGGGATCTTTTACGTGCAATTTTCTGATTGCATATAGACAACATAGCCGGCTGGTTGAATTACCCCCGTTTTTGCTAATCAGCAAACAGCCGAAGACCACCAAACCCCCAGTTCTATAAGCCTGCTACGGAGGATAGCGATGCCCCGGCTAACACTAAAGCTCTGTTACACTATCTCACAACATATGCGCCCAGAATAAACCCATTTTATTCACTTCACTTTGGCTTTATCGATCTTTCAATACAAGACTTATATGTCTAGCCTCCGTAGCAGGCTTATAGAACTGGGGGTTTGGTGCACGGTCTTCGGCTGTTTTCTGATTAGCCCAGTTCTAAAAACGGGGGTAATTCAACCAGGCCGGTTATGTTGTCTATATGCAATCAGAAAATAGCACGTAAAAGATCCCAAAGACCCTGAAGACCCCCAAAACCCCAAGTTTTTGGCATGCTATGGAGGCTATTATATGTCTCTAACAAGGCCTAGATAGACACTAAGGTTACGCGCCAATACACCTGAATACATGCCTCTCTTTGTCCCGTACACACCTACACCGAACTCATAATATTGACCTATTGACCGGCACCTGTGTCAATGTATCACTACCTATTAGGGGCATCTCACTGGAGAACACAAGTAAAGGCGGG